TTTCTGTTTCAATTAGTTTGGCAACATGTTGGATCGTTCCCAGCACTGTCCGTTTTGGCAGGAGCACATCATCTTTTGAGTGATTGGATATGGGGATCTTGACATAAGGTCTCTGTGTCATGTTAACTCCTAATAGTCCCTCTCCTATACTCAGATGTCTTAAAGCAACATTATCTTCAAGGGGTTCATACAGGACAAAGGGGTCAGTGATGCCAAAGTTTGGAGGTACCCTGCACCATACTTGGACCGCTTTTCCAGCTGGGATAATGACATTGTCTTTGCCAACCCTCACTGTGGCTGGGGTACAGTCTGTTTGTTGCGGCACCTGTATGAAATTGACTATGGCCGCCACTTGCTCCTCATCAACTTCAAAAGCTCTGCGTAGAAGGCTGTAAAGGACGGCATTAGCATCCCTATCTGATTGTTGTCTTTGGATGATAACACCAAGCACATTTGCTCCGACTAATGGTTGAGGAAGTGGCAACTGACTGACTAAAAATGGGGCTTTTACTGTGAGATTGGGGTCTTCGTGACCAGCGAGTGTAACTGTGAGTTCAACCCATCCATCATATGGGACTGTTTGGCCATTAACCGCAAAAACCTCGAGTTCATCATCCATCAATTCTCTTAGAGGCCTTACAGGATGGTTGGTGATGTACTTCTTAGCCCACTGCCTGTCTACTATGCTTACTTGGGAGCCAGAGTCGAACAATACAGTTACAGGGTAGCCACTAATCAAACACTTTAAGGTACTCTTCTTACCTACTAGGGGTACTTGACAAGTTTTCATGCTTTGACAAGAGTATATGTGGGGTTCCTTCTGATGTCTGGTGCGTTGTTTTGCAGGTTGTATTGGAGCAGGCTTTACAGACTGGGACAGAGGGTCTGTGCTGGCCTCTGGCTGTCCCTCGACAGAGACCGGTTCCCGTTTCCCTGAGTCCTCGTCCGCTTTAGACACCCAACTGCTCGATGTCCAGACTCACCGCACACAAAGCAATGGCTACAGTCCTGGAGGTTTAGCTCGGTGCACTTTTGACAGAGGAACATTTTCTTTGAAGGAGCTATGTGTTGGTTGGTGGGAGGTTGAGAGGTATGACTGTACTGTTGTTGGGGGAATGGACTTGAGTTGGGGTAGGGGGGATTCTGAGTGGCTGGGGGCGGGAAGAATTGGTGTTGATTTGCTGTTTTAAGCTCCATTAAGCTGGCTACCATATCGGTTAAGGTTTGTACCTGGGCTGCGAGGTGTTGAATTGTTTGGGCAGCGTTCTGTCCTTTGGCTGGGATTGTTTCCTTTGTTTCAAGTACAGCACTCTGGGCCTGTAAATGCTTTTGGCGAGTTACCTGACCTAGCCTACGCTGATGTTCGTTCTCGTCACTAATTATTCTGGTGACTTCTCGTAGTATTTCTTCATCAGCAACATTGTTGTTTAAAGTAAGGGGTCTTAATCTTTGCCTCAAGTCTGCATACTTAACGCCCAAACCTTGGTAGACTGTGTGAAGGAACACTTCCTGTATAGTCTTTGGGTCATAGGAAATGTCTGTGTTAGCCTGTTTGGACTGAAAGATGAGTTTTTGCTTAAGTCCAATCATACGGTACAGAAATTGTTGTGGTGACTCTTGTTCAGTTTGCCTCGCACACATTAGTTCCTGGAACATTTCAGTTACTGCTTTTTCTCCAAGGTGAGACCTCAGAAAGCACTGAAGTTCAAAAATTGACAGTTCATCTTTTAGCATAAGCATATCTCTAAAGGTGCCAGGTTTGACAATTCTCAGTACGCCCCTAACAACTTCCGCTTCTGTAAATCCTTCTTTTAGGCCCTCATTAATCTGTTTAGTGAGGCTGTTGTAGCTGATGTCAGAGCTGTTGTCCCCAATCTGTCCTCCAAATAATTTAAATTCTCTACGAGGCAGATAGGAAAGGTCTGTTATGGTGGCTGGTCTCTCCTGAGTGAAGTGTGTCCTAGAGCTTACTTGTGGTTGGCTGGGCTGACTGATTGTTGCAGCGGGTTGGGGCACTGTAGCTTCACGCTGCTTCATCTGCTCAATTAGCTCCTGGTACACTCTCTTCAATTCTGCTATTGACTGTGTTTCTATGTTTTCTAATGCATTATCAGACGATGGTGGTGAGTCTGAAATCATGTTAGACGAATGGGGAATGGGCGTGGCGAGTGTATTTATTTCAGCTACTTCACTGACTGAGGACTCGGTGCTGGAACTCTTTTTAATGATCTGGTCTATTTCGTCACTCAATATTAGGAGCTGACTTAACCCCTCATCCTCTAGCTGTAGCAGTGTGTCAGACTGAATGTAGGAAGTGACATAGTCCATGCAGCTTTCTTCGTCAGTCTGTTTAAACTGGACTGGGTCCACATTGTCTGTAGCAATATTCATGGCTAGCTCGAAGAGCTGTATGTTAGAGAGTGCAAACAAGCGCCTTCTGATGCTCCAGGCCAATTTTCTCCGTTCTGTTGCCATTCTGCTTGTATAATTTTAGTTATTTCTTTTTACCATTTACTGTAGCTCTGTAGTGATAAGTGTGCACTATTCTGTCTTTACAGCAGACCGGCTCCCTTTTTGAGGCGAGGATACCTTTCACTTTTGATCGTCGTCTCTCCTTGGACACCCACTGGCTGGCTTAGCTGAAATAGTGGCCCAATCGTTGTCACGGTCCTTGTATCACTGGATCTGCCCCTCGACGACTGAAGAGGAGAGATCCCGGACGAGCCCCCACAGTTTGTTACGGGCCCCAGGCGCGGTGGCCGCAATAACAAAAAGAATTGTGATCTGTAAAATGAATGAAAACACTGAGACGAAAGCAAGACAGGACCATGCGCTTCTTTCTCCAGATTACGTCTATTAAATCATTTAAACTCAAATACATCTTGTACAATAAATGAATTCTCTCTCTAACATATTCACTGCATATTAAACACAAATAAAGTGCATTTACATGAATTAGCTTCACCAATCAGATATATAAAATCTTTCTGCTGCACATTCACTCAAATCAGAGTAGATATTCTACTAGTTACAAACAACATTGCAATATTGCATTAATTTCCCTGAGATATAGTACTATCACACATGTTAATTATTCAAAAGTATTATTTAACACTCAAAAATACACTGTATGTGCAAGAAATTAGCTTACTTAAACTGGGACATTGCATTTGAAAGTGTACAGTAACTTTAACAGACCTTATGAAATAACACTGAAGAAATAAAGCTATTAGTAGTAATAATATTATCAAAACTGTAAACAAAATAGCATATATTTATATATAAAACTCTCATATGCTTCCTTAACACACTATTATGAATTCACTCTGCTTTAAAACAGCTCACTGAACATGTAAACACATATTGGGAGACTTTAAGCATCAACTGGAGCGATCTGTGTTGCTTTCAAGCAAAAGATAAAGTGTTTAAATTTAACTTACACTACAGACGGACTGAATGACCGCGCGCCAACGAACTCTCGCGATAATAGCGCGAGTCATCGCGAGATTACTCGCGGCCCGACCTTACACCATTACCTAAAGTGTTTCATCTTTAACTCATCCAAAAGTTACCCAAATCTTCACTGTACAGTTTTCAACAAATATATTCTTTACACAACGTCTAAAACTTTATCCTTTGACAGTTTTAACACAGTACTGACCTGTAAAATGAATGAAAACACTGAGACGAAAGCAAGACAGGACCATGCGCTTCTTTCTCCAGATTACGTCTAACCAGAAACCGGAGGTTCCGTCAGTATACGCACCCGGGAACAAATAATCGCATTAAAGGTTCCGGTCCCCCTATGCTGTCTCATTCATTATTACTCTTTTTTTCCTTTTTGCAGGACATTGCACTAAATGACAAAATAACAATTTGCTGAATTAATAAAAGATGCTAGTCTTAATTTAAATGAATAAACAGTATTATCTATTTATAGAATATATATATATATTTATATCACCAAATGTGGTTGCACAAATTTGGGTGCACCACATTTTCTATGAAAATGAATAGTGCCATCTGAGAACATGTTCAAGATGGAGGGAATTAATTTTTTTTTTTATCAAAAACATTTGAAAAAAAAAATCTAGGTAAATATTGCTTGATAAGGAAATACATTTATTCTACATCATTTCCAAACATGTTGTACCTTTAAAGATGTTTTTAAAAACCAAACAAAATGAAGGTAAATAATAGTGTTTTGTATACATATAAAGATAGTATCAAATCAAAGCTAATCAGTGAAGCTATTTTTCATTTTTTTCACAATAAACTGTTGAAATGTCATTTCCACCACTGTCATTTCCATCACCACACACATTAAAAAAAAAAAAAAGTTCTCATCACACATTAAAAGTGTATTCACAATGTATAAATTCATGCTCTGTTTAATATATACAAATTCAGTTTATTTATTTTCTGATAAGCTCTTAACCAAATTAATATTACATTTTAAAATGTGATAGGTGTACTATTCAGCAACCAACTAATTTATTTCATTGACAAATGTATATTTATTATATATTTTGTGGAAAGATTGGTTAAACAAGATACAAAAAAATGATCTTAGACCATGTTTGACTGCCATAATTAATTTCATTTTGAAATAAGCAGATTGAGATGTGGTGGAATTGACATTTGTTCAGTTCATGATGGAAAAAATGCTTAATTTCTTATCTAAGTTTGTCCTCTTTACAGATCTTAAAACTAGACAATTTTTTAAACTTATAAGGCTGTTTTACGTTAATTTTGAACACTTTTTTTTACTTAACTTCACAAGGCTAAAGTGCCCGTAGTTGAAGAATGGCCCTGTTATAACATTATTTATCAATATAAATGGAACTTTTTGGATTATTGAAAAGCTATTGAAAATAAAATGTTAAAATAGAGAATACATTAGAACCATTGTTATTGTTTACATCCCTCTAAATGGTCTATAAGAAAAATAAAAAAAAACACTGTAAGCTATAGAATAGAAAATGAAGTGTGAGTTACACGTGAGATCTCACACGCCAGAACGCAGTTGGAGTCTTCATTGCCCACTGCAACAAAAATATCCCGTGGCATCGGAACACATGACCCAGGAATCGTTTTTTGAAGACATGAGGCTTGTTTATTACAACCACAAGCACCACAACTACCCTACTACTGTATGTCGTTGTTCAAACAGAAAAGGGGAAGGGCATAACTGGCCGGTGTTTCGCCCACACTACTAGGAAAACGAAACTCATAAAAACGCCCGTGGGTAGTGAGAATGCAAGAGATTTACATTAGGTTTTCGCTGTGTACACTTCATGGACTTAGTTTAGCGTGCATGTGACCTCCCGCCTCCCTCCTCGAAGATGCAAAGGTGGGTTCAAATGGATATAAGTATTTTTTAATCTGTGTTCCAAAGACGGTTGTATTTTCGGTTTTATTACGCGCGCGCTCTTGTTTTTTACATTAGCGCATTTAAATTTTACAAATTTCTTAAAGATATCACCGTAATTGTTTTTATTAAGTTCATGTATATGGTTAATAGTCTTTTTGTGTAACTTATGTCAGGTACCAGATTTGGTTTGGTGAATTAAAGTGAAATATTGCAGTAGGCTATACTCTTGGTCATTGGGTGCAAGTGCAATGTTAGCTAGTCTTTAATTTACAGCTATACACTACAATATTCGTAATAATAACAACATACTAGCCTACTAATTTAGCTGTTTTGTAGGAGCATTACTTTCCCCCCTGATGGTTGACAGCAGAGGGAGGAGGATTATTATTAAGCTAGTAAATAAGTCGGCACCTGCTGCCAGCTTGTATTCCTCTAATACTTATTGTAAGTAGGCTATTTTATTGAGTCAATGTTTTCTTTCTGTATTATAGCCTATGTTAGAAATTTCACATTGTCGAATAGAAACCGGTAGAATAGTCTAATAAGAGCAGTTATAAGGTTATAATTGTAAAGTCAAATTGAGCCCACTGAAATCTATCATAGACTGGCTTTATCTTAAGCTCAATTATTTTCAATGAATTTTGATCATCCATTACAAAAATAACTTCAATTAATGCTATCAGAACATACCCGATTCTATGTTTTTTTTTCATAGTGGTTATTAATCTGATGAATAGGTCTACCTAATCTGTAATATTTTATGTGACATTGTTTTTTTGTGTGTGAATGGTTGCAGTTTATGTTGTGTTTCTATTTTAAGTGACTTGCTGCTGCAACACTGTAGTTTCCTCCAAAGAAAACAAACAACCGCCTGCCTTACAGTGTAGAAATATATGCGGAAAGATGTCGAGACATTTTTTCATAAGCTGTTTAATGACTTGCAAGTGATGTGGAGTGCTCAAAAGCTGTTGAACTGGTAGATTTCCTGGAGCCACAAGAAAAATGTCTGCAAGCTTTACAGCATGACATGAGGACATATGACAGCAGTGTCAGGCACTGTAAAATAAATCAAATAAAATCATTGTTTATTCAACTAGTCTAAGTCATTAGCTTATAAAGCATGGCTGCCCAGCAACGGCCTTTGTGCTTTGATACCTGACTTCTGTGTAAATACGCAGTGAAACTAATCCCTGTGTATATGTGCTTGTTTTGTGTAGTATTTACAAATGCACTTTACATATATTCATTTGGCACACAGTTTGTATTTGTAGACATTGTCATTACATTCTGTCCTAAAATAATCCGCGCATGATTTGAAGAACTTTTCACTTTGGGTCACACTGACATAAAATAAACATACAACTGTTTATCAAAAGCACAAAGGAAAAACCTTCACGCACAGACGTTTGTGGTTAACAAATGTAGTATCTGTCTGAAGGCCCAAAAGCTGTTCTGTTTAAATCTGATTGCTAGGTTTTGTGAGAACAAAAAGGAAAATAAGCTTTTGTTTTGTCTTTTGTGTTTGAGAATATCAGCTTGTACTGCACACCACTGCTCATTCTTTATCACAACCTTGAAAACAGCTGTAGCCGAGGATTACAGAACATTTGTCTTTCTGCTGTTTGAAAACTTTAAGTATCACCGAGGGAACTTTTTTCATTCTGTTCTAAATTTATGTTCTAAATTTTCATTCTATCCTAACATAAAAAAAGTGCTATCAGAATTATTAATAGGTTATATGTCAAAATAAACAATGCATTTAAATGAATAATTTTTTAATTTTCAAGATTAAATTGAGAAATTACCTATAAAATGCCAAACAGACAAACAAACACACATACACACACACTCACACAACTGATTTTTGAGGCTTTACTTTGGATGTTGCTAAAGGAAAGTTCATCTGTTCATCATGTTGTTCATAAACTAATATTAGTTTCTTTTTTCTGCTGAACACAAAATAAGATCTTGCAAAAAACATGGAGAATCAAACATTTTTCGATCCTCATTTCCCTATATGGATATCAAATTGAAAATGTGTAAAGCCTGTCAGAATTTCCATTTCTGGTAAAACCATCTTCGTAAATGCCGTCAAATTTATTGCAAAGTGATAAGTAAAGGATAATAAACATCTACAGTGGGTGACACTTCAAAAGGACCATTCCTGCCGTGTGTAGCGCCGCCGCAACACTAAAGGATTTTTCAGGTGTAATAGCTGTTTGCGACTATGGGGACACAAAGGGATGGACAGAAATATACAGTAGCTGTAAATACCCTGCTACTTGTAAATGAAGATGAAATAATGAAACAAAGAATTATAATTCCTCCATTAAACATTACAAACTTTTTAACAAGTTTTATTATCGTTGTAAACTGGTTAAGTGCAATGAGGATTCATTTTGGAAAGTAAAATTAAAGAAATGAAGACAGTTAAAATGAAAGTACAAACATGCATACTTACATGCACAAATAAATAAATAAATTAATTAATAAAGCTCCTAAGTTAAATGCTACTTCATTAAAAGCATACAAAGACATTGACCTACCTCTAGCAGATTACTAAATCATAATTAAAATAATTTTGCAGCAGGGCATACATTTTTTTTAAATATTAAATGAACTTTATTTTTAATAATTTAGTTTCAGTTCATTTTTCAACATTTTCTTTGTTCTCCTTCAAATTATAATAGTTTTTAAAAAATAACTTTTTAAGCTATTAATGGCCCAGTATCTTTTGTGCTTTAATTTCATTTTCAGTCACCTTGCATATGTGTGTGAAATATAATGCGCGCATAACAGCATTAAAAAAGAAAACACAGAAAGTTATAGCTAATTCATCAAAATTAGCTATATTACAAAACGTCAGAAGTCAAAACAGTCTGTCTTGGTTAGGCTATTTTTATATAGTTCTACTATAACTTAAAAGAAAGCTGCAAAGTGGGCTATATTATTTTAATTCTAAAATTCACATATTAAATGGTTGTGCAATTAGGGTGTAGACGGTAGAGCACCAGTCGAACAACGAAGAGCCAGTATATAAATGCAAGCTTTAAATTTATAGAGACAGGGTAGAGGGTGAACAAACCTCAGGGTAAGGCTAAGATTTGTGCTTCCCTTTAATGCAATTAAAAAAGAGGTTTTAACAAAAGTACCGCCTATTGACAAACATATATTACATTTAAAGCACACATTAAATTATTTTATTAAAGTAACCCACTCTACATGATAATAATAAATATAATAATAATTATATATACAGTTGAATTCCCTAACCCTACGCATCAAATTCAAAGCTCTGATGTTTGCCTACAAAGCGACTTCTGGCTTTGCTCCTTCTTATCTGCTCTCACTTCTGCAGATTTATGTGCCCTCCAGAAACTTGCGTTCTGTGAATGAACGTCGCCTCGTGGTTCCATCCCAAAGAGGGAAGAAATCACTTTCCCGAACGCTCACGCTCAATCTGCCCAGTTGGTGGAATGAACTCCCTAACTGCATCAGAACGGCAGAGTCACTCGCTGTTTTCAAGAAACGACTAAAATCTCAACTATTTAGTCGCCACTTCACTTCCTAATCGGCAATTGCCTCTCTGGATATCACACTAACTGTACTAAAAAAAAAAAAAATTCCTAATACTTTCCTTCTTAGACTTTACAGACCTAAAACTTGCCTACAGCACTTATTCATTGTTGCTCTTATAGTTGTGTAAATTGCTTCCTTGTCCTCATTTGTAAGTCGCTTTGGATAAAAGCATCTGCTAAATGACTAAATGTAAATGTAAATAAATTCAGAATTATTAGCCTTCCTGAAAAAATATATCTTAAAGGGGCTAATAATTTTGACCTTAAAATATTTTGTAAAAAAATTAAAACTGCTTTTTTTCTACCCGAAATAAAACAAATAATTTTATTTTGTGTCTGACACTTTAAATATTGTAGTTTAAAATACTGATTAATTTCAACATGCGAACAACAGCATACAGAACATATTAACAACAGAAAATCCTTAGTTGTTTTTTTAATGCAGTCCATTTTTTAGTTATCAGCCAAACACTATAGGTTTTTCTTTTTTCTTTTTTGCAAAAACAAAATGTGTGCATTGTCCTGCTTAATAATCAGATACTTGCCACAAAAGTAAACAATTAGACAAAAACATTGATCTGAGCTATAAGAATTTACAAACTGTTAAATTAAATGTAAATCTTGCTGAAGAAATGGCTGGATGCAGTCTGCACTAATCTAATTGTATTATTATTCAGGGTTAACCTGCTTTACTTTACATTATTCATACACCTGCCTTATTTACTTTGATTAAAGCATGTCAGAGTTTGTTTGCCTTTTTGGTGTGGTTTGTTCGGGCAGATGTGAAAGCAGCAATCTTTCTCTGGTGCGCACCAAAGTGGACCAAACAACCTGCTCAAAATGAGTTTGCTGTGCATTCATTCTAACCAATTTAAATGAAGTTCAGGAAATTTGTCTATCCAACGATTGATGTGGATGTTGTAACATGACTGCTTCTTGGTTCGTTTAAACTGGTTCAGAATATAGAAGTCGGTCTGGTGTGAAATAGAACCAAAGCGGCTGAAAGTGCTACACTGTATCATTTTTAACCCAGGTTCAGGCTAAAGGAAACGTACTACAGGTGTGAAAGCAGCTTAAGTTTTAAAAGATGGAGCGTGAGATAAGAATCTCCTAATATATTCATGGTCGAGATGATTCATAGTTCCACGGGAGAGCTTGTGATATTAGTTTTACCGGTTGTTTACAGGTTTTTATTCCTTGGAATGTTGTGATTGACCAATTAGAATCAAGTATTTCAAAGAGCTGTGTAATAAACATTGACATGCTGTGCGTTCACTCTAACAATTAATTGCCTACAGCAAATGCATGCCTGCACATGAGGTGTTGCTGACCACAGCAATGCATTTTTTGGCAGCCTGCCCACTACCATACTTATTTTCATCTTCTCTTTTTCCTTATGAATGTATCTTGTCATTTTTCCATTTGGCTTTAGCCTTGTCCATTAATCAAAATAAACTACCCAGAAAAACTAAATAACAGACTTTATTTTTAAAGTTAATATTATTAAACCAACCATTGGGTCCATTGTTTCTGGACTTACATTATTTTCACTAAAAGTCACTGTGCCTTTTATCAGTATGTTCTCGGTTCTGAGATAACTAAACTTTAACACCTCACACACATTCTTTTCTATCAATTTTCATATTCTATGCTGTTTTTTCAAGCTGCATTGTAGTATCACACCACCATTTTTGTGCATTGGGAGCAGCTATGGGCATAAGAGATCTAAAGCTCAAATCTATCTGGGTGATAGAGTGCAGTGATGAAAAAACAACAACAACACACTGGTCGTAAACAAAATATACTCACTTTGATGCACTGCTATTAATTGTGCCAAAGGGAAATAGCCCCAAAGGGATCTGCTGCTTGATTAAACGGTGTCACTAGAACAGTGTCTGTTACTCCGCTCGAGATGAAACAAAGGCTCAAGTCGTTCTTGATTTTTAGTATGTCTTGTACATTCTAGCCTTGCACTCCTTTATGTCCCAATATTGCTGTCAGAACTACGAAAAGAAATACATAAACTTCAATTAACCCTTTAAAGGTGATGTTGCACGTAATGAACAACATACATACAACCAAAAGATAAAGTGCACATTCAACATGTAAAGAAATACACTTAATTGGCTAATTATACATTACATACGGACACATAATCATACATGTTCACATACGTTAACACCATACGACACATACCTCATTGGCCTCTCTAACTCAAGAGGAATAAACTTGAAGGGTTGCAGTTTCTCTTAAACAAACTTCTTTGCACTTCTTAAACCTTAAAGCCGTGTTTTGGCACAGCACCTTGTGGCTGAACTACTTGTAGTGCATCGGAAGAATATCTTGATTGCAACAATGAAATAATTTCCAAGCTAAACATAACAAGAAAAGGTTCCCCCCTCCCCCTTATAGTTTTAGTTAAATAACTTTAAATGAATTAACATGCATTAACAACAAATATACATTACTTATTTATTCTAATGATTACTCTGAACATTTTAACTATTTATTGACTTTTTAAATGTAAAGTTTATGTTTATAGAGTGTAATAAGAATTGCTTCTGACGGCAGCTACAGTGTCAATCAAACTATTTGTATTTACATTTTGTACTATCACATAAAAAATATAGACACATAAAAATTAAACACCAAAATATGCATAATAAAAAAATTAAACAGTTTATCCTACTATTTTTTGTGCACATAACTGAGTAGGATAAACTGTTTAGTTGAGAAGAAAAATGACAATGGAAACAAATTTACCAAATAAATTCCAGTATGTGGATCAAAAGGTCATGATTTTGTTTTTACATGCACATGTAGCTAATTTATACAGCGCAATGCCAATCAGCTTTTCTGTCAGAAACTGGAGCAGAATGGGATGGCATTAAAGGACAGATCAGTGGTCTGACCACATTGCACAACATCTGCAAAAGCTGGTTTGGTCAAAGTCTGTTATCAAAGTGGTTTGGTATATTGCCACCCATAACTGTCTCTCACCTCTAAAACCAGTCTTGAGGGCATTAGTTGTGTTTTGTCTTCTGAGACGCTGTAATTTATTAGATAAGTGATATGGCTCATGAAGGCTTCCCAAATGCAGCAAATTCCATTTTTCTTTTTGATGTCTGACACCAGTTTTTCAGGACTTTGAGATTTTTGTTTTCTTTGACTCATTGGATAACAACGGTGATTTATGCACAAATGTTTTATGTAATATTTCAGTTTTATAGCAGTCTATATCATATCTTTGGATTTAAACATACACTGAAAATGCTGTAAAATTGACAATCATTCCTTTTCTTTTCAGCTTAGTCCCTTTATTAACCAGGGTTCGCCACAGCGGAATTACCCACCAACTTATCTAGTTTATGTTTTACGCAGCAGATGCCCTTCCAGCTGCGACCCATCACTGGGAAACACCCATACACTCTCATTCACACATACACTATTGCCAATTTAGCCCACCCAATTCACCTATAGTGCTATATATAGTGCTATATATATAGTGTATATGTCTTTGGACTTGTGGGGGAAACCCAAGCCAACACGGGGAAAACATGCAAACTCCACACAGAAATGCCAATTAAACCCAGCCAAGGCTCGACTCAGCGATCTTCTTGCTGTGAGGCAACAGCTCCACCCACTGCCCACTGTGCCGCTCAAAATTGACAGTACTAATGGCAATTTTTCAGTATTACTGGCTAAATTTACAAGCTTAGTTTTACAGCACAGTTGTAACTGTTCATTCACACTATTCATTCATTTACAGTGCACTTGTAAATTTTACAGCATATTTTAGTGTAGATACTTTGTCAAACGTTTGTGCCATTTAATAAATCCTGTTAAAATCATGATTTGTTTTTAAAACTTTCCTATAGCTGTCTAAACACTATTTTTTCAGTGTGTTTTTATGCTCTTATGCATTTGAATGGTATTTACATATTGCCTTGTAAATGGTATTTACATATTCCTATGTGGAGCAGGAAAGGGGCATTTAATGTGCCGTGTTCTTTTCTTTCCTCCCATTAGGTTAAGTTGACAGCAGTACGTGCCAGCTGAACAAGACGTTGTGCGTTATGTCTTGAATCCGTAGAAATGTCGACATCACACTCGAGAGATGCTCAGCTGCAGCAGTTCATGCAGATGTATGAGCTGAGAGCTGTTTGTAATGGCTGTACTGAAAAACACTCTCACATTTCCTACACCATCATTGCAACACCTCACCGTTGCTCTCATGATGTCCTGCTAGCCAGAGCAAAGGTCAGAGGTTCCAGATGGAGCCGTGTGTTCCAGCGGCCCACTCACCCACGACCGCAACGATACGAGGTTTGCTGGTATTTTCAGGAGGATGTGGGGTGCCGTATACATCGAGACAGATGCACGTTTGCCAGCAGTCCAGAAGAGGCTGCGGTGTGGAACTTGCAAAAACACACAAATCTTGATCACAGAACAATAATTCATCTGATTACTCAGAGAAAGCGACGGGCTGAGAGCAAGAAAGAAGCTCAGCCGAGTTTTCAGGAGCTTTCTTCATACCAGGAAAAACTTCTGGAAGAATACAGAAGCAGCAGCAACGAGATTCTTGTTGTGAGTATACTGAAATCCTGCACTAGATGACTGCACAGAATACATATGTCCATGTTATCTTAGAAAAATGACACGGTGGCTCAGTGGTTAGCACTGTTGCCTCACAGCAAGAAGGTCGCTGATTTGAGTCTCGGCTGGCAAAACTTGAGTTACAGTTGAAGTCAATTATTAGCCCTTCTGTGACTTCGTAGTTCTTATTCCAAACATTTCCCAAATTATGTTTAACAGAGCACAGAATTTTTATATTTTTAAATAGTATTTCCTATAATATTTTTTTCTTCTGGAGAAAGCCTTATTTGTTTTATTTAAGCTAGAATAAAAGAAGCTTTAATTTATCAAAAAACATTTGAAGGTAAATATTAAGCAATTATTATGCCTCTTAAGCAATTTTTTCCCCCGATTGTTTACAGATCAAGCTATTATGTTTAGAAATGTGTTGAAAAAAAATCTTTGTTGAACAGAAAATGGGGAAAAAAAATACAGGGAGGCTGATAATTCAGGAAGGCTAATAATTCTGACTTCAAATGTATGAGCCCTTTCATCATTAAACCAACACATTCTCAATCAAAAGTCCTCAGTTACTAATGATTTGTTTTCCCCTTGGCTTCTCTTATTAAAGCACAGGTTATCGCTTTTTAATGTGCAGTTTTCATTGATAAAACTCTGGACTCAATACAGGAACTTTTAAGAGTGTTTGTGTATTGGTCTAAATCACAGCTGCTTCCATACACTTTACAGTCAAGCCCCAAGGTTATGAATGGTATGTGGCTCTCAGCATCACAAAACCAGTCATAATTGTCTTTTTTATTTCATTTAATTAAAAACTGAATGAATATGCTTTCCATTGACAAATACTTAGGTTAGGATAGGATCCAATTTGGCTGAGATACAACAATTTCAAAATCTCAAACTGAGGGTTAAAAAAAATCTAAATACTGAGAATATTGCCTTTAAAGTTGTATAAATAAAGTGCTTAGCAATGCATATTACTAAGCAAATGTGAGTTTTGATATATTTACAGTGTGGAATTTAAAAATAGTCTTCATGGGCCATGATATTTACTTAATGTTTACATGATTTTTGCATAAACAAAGAAATATATCATTTTAACTATAATTTTGGCCCATATAATGTATTTTTTTGGCTGTTGGCAGAAATATACTAGTGCAACATGTTTGTGGTCTAGGATCACATATGAAGATGCAGGTTAGATGTAGAATTTTACACACATCTGTTCTCTCAAACTTTGGAACCTAATTTTGTAAGCAAAGCTTGAGATATTTTAAATATGCAAAAGTGTTAGCCATTCATACCTGCGGGTGTGTGCTTTTGAGTCTGCAATCCTCCATGAATAGTCAAGAGGTGTGTTCAGACAAGGGTGGTCAGAACAGAAAATAGCATACTAATTCAAATTGTTTTGATGTACATATCATAATATTATAAATAGATGTGACATGTATCGTAGTATATTAAAAATTACACTGGGAGTGAATTTTATACAGTATAATGCGTCAGCTTATGAATTATGCCAGGGTTATCTATAAACACTACGTGGATTGTGAAATGTGATGAAACTTGACATAAGTTTTTTCCAAGTAAATCTTAGATACATGTGTGTATTTGCAGATCTCTGAGCATGTAGATGATGTGCGTGTTACACACGATGAGAATCTCAGTATGGACTGTTTACAAGAGGACAATGAAATCAGATGGAAATTCACAATCACCACTGAGGTCAGAAACACACGCTAACCTGCATCAGCTTACATTCAGCTAATATTAAACTTATTTTAATAACACACTAATAATAACCTAGTTTGTTTTGTGTGTGTGTGTGTGTATGTGCATGTCTAGAGATCCTTGGCTCACGTAGCTCTACTAAAAGTGGAAAATGGTGCTGTTTTCTCTTTGAGTGATAGTTTAAGAAACACCATCCCCCCAATCACACACATAGCAGGCCACGAGCTTCGTTCCTCTCAGTCCACCTACCAGCTGAGTGTGTCTTTCCTGTCTTTCCACCCTGGTGTGTACGAACAATGGCTGGTGTTTGATTTTGACATGCGACCAGTTCTGCTCAGGAAACTGAAGGTGAGGGTTGGACAGCAGTTCCTTGTCCAGCCTGAAGAGGCAGAAGAGAGTGAATGTGCTGAGATTCTTTCCAATGAGCGCTGGAACAGGGGAAACAGGGTTATCGTGCCCTTCTTCGCCAGAAAGGAGGAGGACGAGCAGTTGCTCAGTAAATACAAACCACCTCAACTGAACCTGCAGTTCAATCCACATGCAGATCATAGTTTGCCACTTCATCGGGAAAACTACAGAGAGAGGGCTCACCACTTCCTGTTCAGGGAGGAAATTGCAGAGGAGGAGCTCATTAGCAGGTATAGACAGCTTGTAGAAATAGTGCACTTGAAATGTATGCTGTGGTGTAAATTTACTATATTTTCTTTATTTTTGTGGATGTATTCCCAAAACCAGTTAAACATAAATTGTGCATCAATGCTATGCTAAAGTTGAGGTGTGGGTTTAAGTTATGTTATAGGTTAATATTCGTGTTCAGTGTTCCAGTCAACAATTCTGAAACCAACAGAAGAACAATTAAATTAATTAGATGCAGGATTTACTGGTCTTCTGTTGGTTTTAGAATTTTCATTTTCAAAATCCCATAATAGGGGCTCTTTAATTAGTATGTTCTTTTACATTTAAATATATAATTTGGTACAATGCACTTATTGTGTACATACTGTACATTCTAATTTTACATAGTACTTATACTTTAAACATTATTCTAATGTAATTACACCTGTAATTATGTCTTAAATAACATTCAAAATTACATTGTTGATCCATCCCTTACACCTTAAACCACCAATAAACCTACCCATACCACCAAATCTGTCATTGAGCTTACCTGTATCCCACCTCAATAGCACCAAAGACTACAGAATACACAAGACGCGTCACTCGTATAGTTTTGAATGGGGAAATCTGTAATGGTCAATATGGCGAATGAAGCCCTGCCTACTAGTACAGGAGCCAATCATAGACTGACAATTCTCTGGGGGAGAAGCTTGGACTAGACGTGTGTTTTTACAACAATTTATGTGGTCAACAAACACACTGGAATCTTAGTGAATACTTGCTTCACAGACATAAGATATATATCTAAATAAAGCCTGAAATATTTACTTTTAAATGAACCAAGTGACAAAAACAAAAGATTTCTGGTTTTTTAATCTGTATGAAACTAACACGAGGTACAGTCCATCCTGTCAAACGCACAACATATGACATCAACTACTCAAACGCCCACAGACTTGTAAACAAAGAGTCGCTGTCATTTTTGGAGGAGATCCGCCATCAAGATCATGTTGTGAATAAATGAGCTTGTTGTCGTGATCTTGTTCCTTTCAAGTGTGCATGTGCATTAGCTCAGGTAACCTGAAAAAATGCAGGTTTTGTTTGATTCGAATGGTTAGAAATGAAACTTGTGAGACGATTGTTGTGTAATTTTATCTGTGATTCCAAATATGTAATGTAATCATAAGCTTGGCGAGTTTGAAGTTTCCCCATTCAAGCAGAATGCACTAGCATACTGCCTGAGAGGCTTTTTAAAGCTGGTCACTGAGTGAAATGACTTGCCTTAAAGGGACTTTGATAGCACCATAAGTGTTGTGCAATACAATTTGAATACAATAAGTACACTGCATTTAATTTTTGTATGCAAATACCTACCAAGGCTACTTAACATTAAGTGGGACCAATTTCACCTTATACAGTAAATGTCCAAGGGTTTTGACTAATTACTTCTAAATAACTAAGAATAATAAAGCTCAACAAATGGTAAAACAGTTTGAACAAACTAATGTTTGCATTCGAGATAAGATTGCATAAGCATTAAGGTCACCTTTTGTATAGGAAAAATAAATTTAATTTTTATTTTTTTTACCAATAATCAATAGTAAAAATTAGCAAAAAATTTGCCTTATGTTAAATCCGTGACAACCCCCACCGCCCTTATAATGTTCCCAAATGAGTGATAATCCCCTGGAAATTGCGCGCCTCCTTCCCGGACCCGTTCCTCAAAAAAGTCGCGCACCCTTCTCACCCCCGGATCCTTCCACGCTCTTCAGACACGTCGCGCGCACTGTCAAACCCCCTCACTTTTCATATTAAGACGATGCCATCGTCCATCACGATGTTTCACATTAGACATTGTACGATGCCAAATTGGTGGACATCGCCCAACCCTAGTTGGTGATTCATTCCTCTGTGGTGACCCCTGATTAATAAAGAGACTAAGCCGAAAAGAAAATAAATAAATAAAAAATTATGATTATTATTAAACTGAAAGATTATGTTGTTAGTAATATACACATTTACTCAATATACAGTATTTAACATTTGAAGTGGTTCAAAACCTTTCATCAAAGTTGTCTTAAAACTATTAAACAACCCCCATTCTTGCATTAGGAAAAATTTAAAAGCATTGTTGATCCACTTTAACAGTATATTCAAGCAAATAGCTCTGTAAAAGGTCATACAATCAGTGTATCTTGATGTAATGTATAGTATAAAAATGGCGAGGAATAAATACGTTTGAAATGGCGTTCACGGCAAAAAAAGGTGCATTCTATTATAATGACTGGTTCTTTAATTCTAAGGGAGGTCATGTCCTTATATGGTACCAGAGACCTAATATATAATTATAAACACTGTTCAGAGCTGATCTCTGCCCAGAAACCTTTTGATATCTACAGGACCACACCATCATTAAGGGAGTGTAATTTATCTTGTGTCATATTATCAGCCACACCCACTGATATACTTTCTGTAGCAGAGGCTAGATCATGCGCATACAAATGAGTCACAGTGACCCATAGAAACATTGTTATAGTGTCCACTTATGCAAAGATTGTTTCATAATATACTTATTCCTTATCTCAAATCTCTAATTTTGGAATTTGAACTCGTACTAGCTACAGTAGGTATAACCACTGAGTTGAGTGTAAAGATAACTGAAAGCTAACTCATTGAAAACTAAAAGGCATTATTTTCTAATTGCACTTTCCATGAATGAAACATGGGCAGGGGTGTTTTTATGCATAGAAAAATGATAAAGTGGTAAAAGATGAAAACATTGCTGAAGGGAAAGGAGGATGAATAGGCTGCTACCAACATTCAAACTGAAAGAATAAGCAATCCATTATGAACACTCTGTGGAAACATTGTTGTCACTCTTTTGAACTTGAAGAGCTGTCAACTATGCTTGGTGTGTGATTGATTCAGATTCTTAGGGGCCTTACATATATAAAATATATTGCATAGAAACTATCACATTTTAATATTTTTTCAGTGTTAGTGTGATTCCAACCAAAGCTCATTATTGATACATACCCATATATATAAAAATGTACAAAAGCAAGCACATCACTCTTATCTTAGTGCTTAGCCAAAATGCAAAAAGGCAGCAACAATAAAGCTCTGAAAATGCAAATGTATTCAATTAAAAAGGCTGTCACAAAGTGTGTTCAACTGTCAGCCTTTTAACTTAATAAATATGCAGTTTTTGAGCTTTGGTGTTGTCGCCTTTTTGAATAAATAATATGTACCCCTATATACATTTCTGGAGATATATCCCAGGAGGTAAATTTATAACATTTTTTGTTTTTCACGAATCCACTGGAGACCGGTGTGTACGCTTTTTTTAGATCTCAAATATCTCTTGTGAGTGCTATTTGCGCCTGCTGTTCTCGCATAAATACACTGACCGACCGATCCCCCCAACCTCCCCCTTCCCAGGACAAAACTCCCTTTTCAAAAGCTGATCCCCCCTTCCCTAAACTCAACCAACAGTGTTTTGAAAAGCAATCCAGAAAAAGAAAAGCCCTTATGGCCGTTTTCAGGTTTTACCACATTCTCACCCTGTTAATTACTTGTTTTTTTATTTTTTGCCTTTTACTTTTGTTTTACCTGCTTTCTGGAACCGTTCTTCGCCAGTGCTTTCGTTGTCATACTCTGTGGTCAAAGTCAGCTCTTTTCTGTGTCTCAAGTCTGCTGACGTATGGGGCGAGCTACTGGGCAAACTGGTAACACCTTCACACTGGTGTCATATTGCCCTGTAGCGTTCGTTTTAAAGATGAAATGCGTAGCTCTGGCTACATAATTTGCACTCTCCAAAAATGTATATGGGGTCACATGCCAGTGTCAGTGATCTTGTGACATGTGCCAGTAGGTGTCAATATAAGCACTTTATAAGCACATTAATCTTATAAGTCTCTTTGCTTTAATATTTAAAAATCATTAGGCAAATGACACCTGTTATCTTACATGCATATATGTAATGAGTTTTCAACATGCATTTTATTATAACTTTTTAAAGGATATTATTTAAAATACCTTAAAATGAAAATAAGTTAAATAATAAAATAAACGAATGAATTAAAAACATAGAGAAGTCCATATTGTAGGGAACAAAGGAACTGCCAGGATGCAATGTTATACAGTACAACAGATAAGTGTAACCCCTCCCATACATAAGCATGCCACAATAAATTTGACTGACATGTACTGTCAAATGACTATATTACGTACGGAAGTATGACTACGAATACATAAAATAAATGCATTTAAATTAAAACATCGTGGAGTAGCTCAGCATATAAACTAACTTGCGACGTGATAAATTAGGTTAAAAGTCGCGTAATGATTAAATATGGTTTTGCTGTTAATTAATGTCATAAGCTTCGCCGGGTGTCGATGTCACTGCAGTGACATGCAGCGCGACACTCTGAGTGACACAGGTCACTACACATGCCACTAGCGAGTGACACATGACAGTGGAAAACCGGACGTGCCACCAGAAGTGTCACTACACTTAGTGGCATGTGCCAGTGGCATCTGTACGTCAGATGTCGTGTCACTCCATCTTAAAACTGCCTCTCCATTAAACTGACAAGCAGGCAGGTGAACATAGTGATAAATAATAGGATGGGACAAGGTGGGTGGGACAAGACGATAGACAGGGGAGCACATGACACAAAGAAAAACACAAGCCATGTAAAAAACAGGACTAGAACACGCAGCTAATGAGAGAACGCGTGTTCACTTGAAACACAACACTATAGCATGTAAACATGAACCACATGCTAAACGCAACAGCAACACAAACAGAATGCCACGAGCATACAATAAATAAAAACACTTATCGTTCACAAGCACAGCCAAGAAGGCACTCATACAGTGACAAAGATGGACAATTATGAGAAATATGAGTGCTCGACCTGAGAAAACTTAAACCGAGCACAACATAGTAGACAAGACAGGACTAGAGTCCGGACTCTGCCACCAAAACAAGAATTAACAAGATCGAGGTGGCAGAATCCTGACAAATATGCCATACATCTACACTTACCATATTAGAATTTGGTCAATTATTTATCAGTACTTGTCTCAAATTTTTTAATTAAACATGCAAATTTTCTCAGTTTTGTAAATTTAGATGACCTTTAATCTATATTCTCATCATTACTCTGGTTTTCTTCTTTTCCCAAACTTGCAGGTTAAATGTTTGTGGGACTGTGTCTCTCTCTAACCATTTGAGTGATGCCATGTCACTGTTTTACGCTGCTCCAGGAAAGCTCTTTGCCAATCTAAAGGTGTCCTGCTCACTCACACCGGACTCTCCTGAAGGGGTAGTACTTAAACGAGGGGTGCAGATGGCTCTGGTGAACTGCAAATCAACAAAGGCTAGCATGTCAGCAGAGCACAGAAACCATGTGTATGAAGCATTTGTGATGAAAGAGACTGTTGGTGAGGGTCACCTTAGTCTCGAGCTCTCTACACAGTGTGTGTCTGAACTAGAGCTGCGAAAAGAAACCACATGTGAAATGGAGGTTCAGTTTCAGTTGAATAGACTGTCATTCTGTCAGATACACCAAGCTATCGACCGCCTACCAGACTTGCACAATGTTCTGCCTGACTTCAGCAACTGTTGTGTCCCCGTGAATTTAACCAAACAGTCCCAATTGAACAACAAACAGCAAATTGCACTAAACTTCATTCTTGGAAAGTGTGAGGACGACAAAGTTGCTGCTCCATTGCTCATATATGGACCGTTTGGCACTGGGAAAACACTCTGTCTGGCCTCGGCAGCCAAAGAGCTGGCCCATCGTTCTCAAAACAAAGTGCTCATCTGTACATATACTAACAGGTAAGTCTCTAAGTCATAATAAAGCTTAAAGAAAAATCTAGACAATGACAAAATAACAAAATAAATCTAGACAATGGTTCTCATTCACTGAACATGCATATACACAATTTCTTCTTCAGTAATGCGTTACTTTAAAATTCATTTTTGAGTTACTTTTCCAAAGAACATTTTAATGCTCCCATTAATGTCCTTATAACGTCACTTCAGTCCTGCATGGAGAATACACTGTTGATCAGCTTCGCAGTTTTAATTAATTTGCGTTCTTACAACTAAAATACAAGACAAAATAAATGAAAAGTGAATTTTAAACACTAATTTACAGTCAGACCAGCAGCACAAAAATAAAAAAATCACAAGGTGATAAACCACCGTAATATATATTCAGAAACAAAATGCAAAAACTAAAGTTGCTTCAGCTTATAAAAGTTGTTGTATTTAACATTTAAACATGTTCCTTCACAGTATGAAAACTAGCAACAATATACAACAGACTCAAAACCTTTATGAAATAAATAAAGTAATCTGACTTATCATTCAGAATCTATTTGGTCAAACTCAGCACCAAAAAAACTGCTATTATAGACAACCATAAATTTTATACATTTTAAACAAAACAAAAACATCACAGCTGCTCAAAAATGAAATCTATGAATTTTAAAATTAACCACAAATTAAATCTGGTATATCAGCAACTTATGGAAAGTAAGCTATGTATATTCAAAGTGCAAAATCTGCTGTTGTAGAACAGCTATAGAAATATGTTTAACAATAAAAAAAATTAACACAGCAATGTGATTAAACAGAAATGTGTCACTGTGTCTACTGAACTAAGCAATTTTGTTAGATAACAAACGTGTGCTTAATTATTTGAAACAACAAATACAGTAGTATCAGTAATAGTATTTAATAATATTAATGTTAATAGTCTTTCGGTATCTCTCACGAACACTTGGTCTACCTCGCACACATTCAGCCTCTCTCTCGCGAGCACACTTGGTGTACCTCGCGCATATTCGGTCTGTTTTCGCTTGACTTTTGTCCAGTCTGGCACCTCATACACGACACGTCATTTTACGGTGGTTGATTTTTCATCCACCAATCCCACAATGCGTCGCCCCTGTAAACAGGAACAAGTGGGCTAGACTGCAGCCAAAATTAATTAACTTACCAAGTAATGAACAAACGCATAATATTGTAACAATAACAGAGTTACTATATTTAAAAAGTAATGCGTTAAGAGTATTAGTATTACTAGTAACGCATTACTGCCCACCACTATTCTTATGTAAATGTGGTTGAATGTGCCATCAAGGCTCATTACGGATTTGTACCCAGGTCTACATTTCTGGGGACAGTGAAAAATGTAACTGAGGTACATCTGCTTGCAGTTTTTGTTTTTGCAAATGCATCAAATGGCGATATGTTTACTTTTTGATGATCTAAATTTTTTCTTGTGCGTCCTCTTCTTGCATAAATGCACCAGAGGATGCAATACACACTTCAGTCGGCCAGGCCAGCTAGCTGTTGACAGACTGATTCACCGACAGACCCACCCACCCCATCCCCTAACCTAACCGATAGTGCTTTCAAAAGCAATCCACAAAAAGAAAAGCAGTCGTGGCCTTGTGATTTCACCACATATTCAGGCTGTTGTTTATTTATTGGAACCGTTCTTCGCTGGACTCAAACCCAACCCCCGTGGTCAACTTAGCTTCGCGTCCTAAATCCATCCATGTACGAGGTGAGCCACTGGGCAAACTGGTCACACCGGAAAAATCGTCCACACGAAGGTAAGCGGTCAATAGTAGCGTGAAAAGCAACAGTAGCCGGCGACGGCGTCATACCGCCCTGTAGCATTCATTTTAAAGATGAAAAACAGCTATACATACCTCTGGCCACATATTATGCTGCTAAAACTTTATGATACCTATATACTTGTACTCTTGCAAAAATGTGTTGATATTCGCATATATTGGATCTAAAATGTAATCTATTTAATGTGTGATTTCTTCTATGTGTCTGATGGAATATCATTACAGGTCCTACAGACCCTCTTTCCCGAGCAGCCCCAATAGACACCCCTTCCAGAGCACTCTTATTATCTCCTAGTTAAATAGAGAAGCTATTATTTATAAGACACAGAGACATACATATAAATGTCATCGACAGGGCAACTATGGGTTAAAGAACAATTAAGGCTATAGACTGAGGGATACAGTAGCCAATGTTCTGGATAGCAGGATGCAGCTGGGGACATGGAAACTAAGATGAATGTCCATGCTGTAGACAGCAGAACATACTGAGTATATATTGGTGGATTAATAAGACATGATGTATGAAATGTCAAACTATAAGGGAGGAGAAAAGTGTGTATAGGACTGTGTAAAACCAGTCAGACTAACAATCAGATCACCTCCGTTGTTGCATACTGCTTGTAACAATAAATGCTTCAGCCTGAGAAATTCAGAAGACTTCAGACTTCTTTTGATTCTTGACAATATATGCAATTATTAGTGAATGAGATCAAATGTTATCAGTATCAAGCTGTTTTGTGTAAAAAAAAACAGCTATTTAGAATGTATAATTAATAAATGTTGTGTTTTATTTCCTCTAGCTCTGCAGATTTATACGTAAGAGAGCACTTCCATCCATACATAATTAATGGACACCCAACTCTCAAACTACTCAGGATAAAGGCAAACAAGGGAGGGTCCGCTATCATAGCAACTGATGACATCACTCGAAAATACTGTCTCTGCTCTCGAGATGGACAGTCGTTCATCCTCCCAGCACGCTCTGACCTAGAGTCGCATCGCATCATTATAACCACCACATCAATAGCCCGACATCTCCATGAGCTGAAACTTCCCAAAGGTTTCTTCACTCATATCTTGATTGATGAGGCATCTCAAATGCTGGAAGGTGAAGCTCTAATGGCTCTGGGCTTAGCAGACAAACACACTCGAGTGGTTTTAGCAGGAGACCACATGCAGATGGCTCCAAAACTTTTCTCTGTAACCGATGACAAGAGATCAGAACACACCCTGCTCAATCGCCTCTTCCACTACTATCAGGATCAGAGCATCAACATCGCCAAGAAAAGCAGAATAATCTTTAACGAGAACTACCGCTCGACCACAGAAATTGTGGATTTTGTATCCACTTACTTCTATGTGAGTGATGGGATCAAGGCCAGAGGAGATGTGCATCCACACCCGAGGCTAAAACCCTTGATTTTTCATCATGTCAGAGGAGAATGCCATCTGAGTTCCACCATCACATCCACATCATGGTTAAATTATGCTGAGGTCAACAGTGTGGTAAACATGGTACAAGTGCTTCTGACTGACTGGCCAATGGAATGGGGTGATAAAGACCCAAAGCAGATTTGTGTTCTAAGTGAAGGCCAACAGGTACTTTTTATAGTGATAAAAACAAATATTTACATAAACATGAAGAAATATGTCATGATTCTAAATGATTACAGTTATATTATGCAAGTAATGTATGGTGAAATGCTATATGAATGACAATGTGATATGAGCTGCTAATATTAATCAAGCATTAGGTATGAGAGTGTTAAATAATTTAAGATTGAATGATTCTGTTGCTTAAATATTTTTTAGGACGATATCTTTAATAGAAAAATCACTTGCAATCACTAAATAATATAGTTTAGTGATTGTTTAAGGGCTCAAATTGTGTCAAGCAGTGCTTAAAGTGGGTAAAAAAGTAATTGCACTTGTCTACCTCAATAATATGGTTTATAATATAGACCTTATCTCTTGCTTTCCAAATTTACGAGTTACCGTGTATGATCCTGGACCTTCTAGGAGTCGTGGGATGTCAAGGAATAGTTTGAGATATTTAAAATTTTCATTAATTAGTACCGCTGGTTAGTAAGTTAGTTAGTTTGCTGCTTACAGACAGTGATGCTGAATCTGAGCGGACAAGTACATTAGCATGTGGCTTAGGGCCGTACGTTAAAAATTAAAATGGTAGTATTGCAAGTTTGTGCATAAACTTCAAGCACTGGAAACTAGCACAAAAACTGATACCAAAGTAATAAGCTTTTCCTGAAATTTGTCATTACCCACAGATTTGACATCTTTTCTCTTTGATATTTAGGTTGCTGCCATCAGAATACATCTCCGCAGGAAAGGATTTTATGGAGTGTCGGTTCAGAATTTAGCAAACATTCAAGGTACTTAGGGGTTCAAACATAACTGTCTGCTTGAACCTGTTTGATTCAATTAGAACAAAATGATCACAGGCAGGGCTTGACATTAACTTTTTTGATCACCAATCACTGTGGCTAGAAGATTTGCAACATTACTAGCCACTTGACATTTTCATTAGCCACAATTTTGTTGTTGGGAAAATATGACTTAGCACAATGATCTTGTGTTATGTCCACATGCCTCACTCGTTTCACTTTTTGTGTGTCGTGTATGAGCTTGCTCAGTGAGCATAAAACAAATTGGTCATGGTTTCATAGTGTCGCATTACAATTAGTTTTTATTTCACATGACTTTTCAGAGCTCAGAATTAAGGATTGACCAATTTGATCTCTGACCACACCAAACATAAATAAATAATTATTTTTTAGCTACAAATTTAAAATGTCAAAACAAGCAAAATATAGCTGTATGCTATACCTTAAGTTTAACAAAACATTTCTTAAAAAAAAAAAAATTACATTTAAAAAAATAGTTGTTTTCTTTGTTAGATGTATAATATTATATATATATATATATGTATAATGTATAATATAATTATATTAATAATATTATAATGTAGATAATATTATATGTATCTAAAACTATGCACAGTAATCTGTTGACCACACAAATGGGTAGTTAATCTCCCATTAAAGCAATGTTATTGTAATAAATGACAATTAAACCATATTAACAAAACAAAACACTGTAAGCTAAAGAAAACATATCATGTGTGATAATGAAAGGATGATCACCCGCACATGGTTAACGTTAGTCAAGTTAATAATCTGATAAAAGAATGGTTAAAGCGGAAGCAACCGGTGCTGCTTACAAAATAACAAATCTGGAGCTCTTCAAAGCAGCAAGACTGTGGGCGCATGAGCATACATTTTTGTCCAGTCTATTTAAAAGAAAACCGATTACACCGAAAACCCGCCATAGCTGAATTCTACCCGCATTTGGCAGGTTGGCGGGTGTTATTGTCAAGCCCTGATCACAAGTCATAAAAATTCCTGTCAATATATTATTTTATATGTTTTGTTGTTGTGAAATTACAACCTACTCTTCAAAATTTTGTGTTCTTAGGAAAACAGTTCAGGGTCATCATAATAACAACAGTCCACACAAGAGACAAACTTCTTCAGTTAGACTCAAGCTGCCCAGAGTTCTTTGATGATATCCGTGCGCTAAACACCGCCTTGACCAGAGCCCAGTCGCTAGTGGTTGTAATTGGAGATGCTGGTGCTCTTTGTTGCTTTGGAAAGTGTTCAAAAGTCTGGAGGGCCTACATAGAACACTGCATCAGTAAGGGCAGCATTAAACCAGATCATTTCACCAGAGATGTCCTACAGCGAGAAGTGTTGGAAATTTCAAAGTTTCAAAAGACAGAAAATGTTGAAAAGATTGAGACTGTTGTAAACCTCCAGGCTGAAACTGATGCTATATTGAAAGAGATGGAGAACTATGATTCTGATGCACAGAAGTCTGATGATGACAATGAACAAAAGAGGCGGATATTCACTTCCGCTGAAAAAGAAAACCTTTTGGAGATGGTCAGGAATCAGCCTGCTCTCTACAAACGTGGAGAATTGGTGATGGAAGGATATCAGTCAGGTTATATAATACCATATGACAACCCATCTGAACGCATTGATATTAAAGGGAGGAAAAACATTGGCATGTCTTTCCCTGGTGATGAAGTTGTGGTTGAGATTAGACGACATGATGAAGGGCATCTCACTGGAAGAGTTTTAGGGCTCACAAATAGATCACCAACATCCTCTGAATGTGTGTGTTCATTAGAAGATGAAAATTACAATAGAAAAAAACTGAATCCTGACCAAAACCTGGTGCCAAAAATGATGATACCCCTCGACCACACAACCACCAAAATACGCATTTTGGTAAAGAAAGAGGCTCGCAAATTAATTCCTCTGTGGAAATGTGTCAGTGGCAATTGGACAATAACAGGAAGAGTTCCTATTAATGAACAAACAAAACAGAACTATGTTTTTGTCGTGCAGATATTGGGCTGGAAAGAACACTGTTCCTTTCCACTTGGTAGAGTTACAGATATTCTACCAGTTGGGACATCTTTAGAGGAGGGTCTTAAGATTTTAAAATCAGAATTCAAACTAATGTCTCCTCCTCTGATGCAAGAGAACACGCTTTTAGAAATCAGAATTGATGACAAGAGAAGAAAGGATTTTACAGGTTTAAAAACCTTTACTGTTGATCCACCTAACGCTGAAGTCTTAGATGATGCCATCAGCATCAATGATCTTGGAAGCTGCTATGAAATAGGAGTTCATGTTGCAGATGTAGCTAGTTTTGTGTCTAAGGACAGTTCCATTGATGCATTCGCAAAGGATATGGGAGCAACCTTTTATGCACCTGGAAAAGAACCAGCATTTATGTTCCCCAAACATCTCTCCACCACCTGTTGGAGTCTTCTCCCAGGCAAAGATCGGAAAGCAATTTCTTTAATTGTTGAAGTGGAAAAGCAGTCAGGGGTCATCACAAAAAAGACCTTTGATCTCTCTATGGTCAAATCTAAAAGGCAGCTGACCTACAATGAGGCTGAGGATATAATATGTCAGTGTGATGGTGAACTAAGATTTGATACATTGGAGGACTGTGTCCGAGTGGCTTACCATTTTGCCAGAAGCCAGCGCAAAACACGACTTAAAGAAGACTGGAGCTATGCCCAGCTTAATAAACACCAGAAGCCAGGGGAGAGAGAAGCACATCGAATGATTGAAGAGTTAAACATCATGTTTAACCATGAAGTGTCAAAATTTCTGTCAGAGTACACAGACACCAAATCCTGCACTCCTCTGAGGTGCCAGGATTCTCCTAATGCAGAAGCTTTAGAGAAGATTAGTAATCAACACATGGAACTCATTCCTTTTTCATCCCACCTGACATTTCATTTAGAGAGACAGCGAATGGACCTGAATAATGCAGTTACCTTCACTGTGTATTCTTTAGGGTCTAGATATGTTCACCCAAACAATAATCCTAACCCTGAAGCTAACTCCAGCCCTTTATCAAGCCAACTACGAGATGCCATCTCTGTCAGCGAGTCTGAATTTCATTTTGAAATTGGAATTCACAAGGCAGATTTTTTAAACTATGTGTCTGAGGACAATATTCAGAACTTGGGAGCACAATCAGACATGTGGAATTTGGCACCAGGCAAAAAACGCTGTGCCATCTCTTTGATGCTGAAAGTAGAAAAGAGAAATGGGAAACTAGTAGAGGAAAAGATGGTGCTTTCCCGCATTAGGTCATGCAAGGCATTGTCCTACAGTGAGGCTGACAGCATCATCAACCAACTTGGAGAAAAAGAGATGAAATTTGGCACTCTGGAAGACTGCATCCTTGTGGTTTGTCGTTTTGCACTTGATCACAGGACAAAGAGGCTCTCTAGACAGGTGAACAGTTCCAATCCCTCTGATCTTGCATCATCTGAAGACAGCAAGTGCAGGTTAATGATGGAGGAGCTGAAACTGATGTTTAAAAGAGCTAGTGATCAAATTATTAATCAACAAACCCAATTTCCAAACACCTCTCCTGGACTGGTGAATAGACTTAAGAAATACAATGAGAAGTTTGAGTCTCTCCAAGTACTAGAGAAATGTCTGGATCCAAACAACGGGCAGAACTGTGGAAGTTTCATCATTCTGACATCTGTGTGGAAAAAGATCAAATCAGCAGCTTTGACATGTGATTTCTACAAAATGGCTGACCTCATTTCTACAGATGACATTCATCCTCAATTGGTTCCGGCAATTGTTCAATTAAGTGCCAGCATCAACAAAGCCTTCTTCATTCGTTCTCTCTCCTGCAGAGAAGCTTTAGTTGGGCACTATTCATTACATCTAGACTCTTACACACATGCATCTTCACCCATTCGGCGGTACATTGATGTGGTTCTTCAGAGGCTCATGCATGCAGTTCTCGGTAATCGTCCTGTAGAGTACTCTCAGACAGACATTGATCTGCTGTGTGAAAAGTGTAAAAGAGGAGAAAAGAGGGCACAGGAGTATGAGAGCAAAGTTGAGGCACTTCAAATAGCAGTCAATCTACAGAAACAAAGCACATACAAAGTGGCTTTTGTCACCGTTGTTAAACGGGACAGTGAAAGCTTTAAACTGTCATTTCCATTTGACAAAGGAACTTTCCCGGAAAAGCTTCCTGTTCAGTACAGAAATTTACAGCTTGAAGATCAACCACTATTTATCAAAAAGCCAAAACATGTGAAGCTAACGTGGAAAAAGCGTATATACGGATTGAGCATGACCCAGAGCCCCCTCCAGAACATGAAAATCTCTTCAGAGATTCAGCAGAGCACTTGGCAAGCTATTGTTGAGGCTGTGAGAGACGAAAAGTGGGATGAGGCAAAGTCTCTCGTATTGGCAGCACATGTGAAAGATAACAGCAGGAACAGTGAATTGTCTGATACATCTCGATGGGATCCTGATCGCACATTTACTTCTGAAGAGGATCATTACACTGACTTCCAAATTAATCTGAAAGTTGGAGACACTGTCCAGGTACAGCTGACCTCAGAAAGGGACAGAGGCTACTGGGCACCAACTGTACAGTTATTTAGATTGAGTTCAAGTTTTGAGATATGTGTGGAGCACACTGACAATCCTATCAAGTGCTTTTCCAGAATTGCAGACCATCCATCCAAAGGTTCCTACAGTAATGTAGAGGAATATGTGCAGATATGGAGGCCCCTCTGTGAAATGGAGTCTGCTGCAACGGCTGTGGATGATAGTGATTGTGTTGTGATAGAAAATGTGGCAATAACTTGGGACGATTCCAGACTCTCTGGAAACTTCTCTCTACCTGAAGAGAATATCAAGAAATGGGCAATTGAATTTGACCTAGGCAGGTGTCTGCTCTGTATCCGAAAGAGAGATCTAGAGCAGAACCAAGCAGAACAGTCAGAGCTGGATCCAAAATATTTTACTTGGGTGGCCCATGCTGTGACAACACTGTGTTCGGATTCTCCAGAGAACAGTGGGAATAAGTTTAAAATCATTAACTTTAATGTAAAATATGCATCCATGAAAATCCCAAAATTTAAAAGGAATGAGACATTCACTGTGGAGATTATCCCAAAACTTCTTCCAGACATGTAAGTCACACAACAACTATACAGTTCTTTAGTATTATTTAACTACTCATAACACTTTATAGCATTGCACCAGAATCTAGTTACTTCATAGTTCATCCGAGAATAAAAATGTACTCACTATTTACTCAACACTAAGGCTCAATCCCATTTCTGTTTTTGTACTCCCACCCCTTCCCATTGGCTCTTAAAAGCGAGTGCGAAGGGTTTAAAATTTTAACCCTAAGAATTGGGACATCACAACAGCACCTGTACATGTCATCAGATGTCATTGCGATCTCATGAGATCAGGCGATCGCGACTGCTGTAGTTATTCCAGTTGTGCTATTTTTTGGTATTTATCTTCAGGAAATCACTGAAGGCATATATTATGTTATTATAATGATCTAATGTGGCAATATGATCTTAACTATACAGCGCATTTACACAGTGGCCATATTCATCTATGTAAACACATCAAAAACAACATCAACATTATAGCAGACACTGTAAAAAGCCCATTCCCAGCTACTAGACTTTTCTGACAGGCTATTCAAGTGTCATCGAGTGTCAGAATGTTGTGGGACTGCTATACAGGAGTTATTATTAGGGACTATAGATTTTGCGTTTTTTATTTTAGCATTTTAGCTGGTGTATTCTGGGAAAATATCATACCCCTTGGTTTCAAGTGTGGTCCTGAAAAACCTCAGTTCGAAGGGCTATCTACCCCTTCCCCTTAGCCCTACGCCTTCAAGCTAAAGAGAATTGGGACACCCCTACCCCTTTACGGAGATGTGCATAACGAGGGGTAGAGGTAAGGGGAAGGGCTAAAGGATAGAATAGGGATTGTGCCTAAGTGGTTAGACTCCAAACCTTTATTAGTTAGTTATTCTGCTGAACACTAAAGAAGATATTTTGAAAAATGCTAAAACTTGTGACCCCTGACGTCCATTGTAGGAACTACAAATACTATTGAGGTCAATAGTTACAGGTTTCCAGCTTTCTTCAATATACAATATCTTCTTTTGTGTTTAACAGAAGAAAGTTCAACAGATGAAGAATGAGTAAATGACCATTTTTGGGTGTCCTACCTCTTTAACTTTAAAAATATATGTTGTTCAATATAAAAATTGAAAGACATGACAACCAGTTCCACTGATGTGTGTATTGTTTCTGCTTGATTCATTCAGACGGAAGGAAAGTGCAGTGAATAATCTAAAAGGAGCGAATGAACTTGTTCAGAACATTGCACTAAAACACCGGATCGTGAACCAAAGTAAGCAATAAATAGTTTACATTTGCATCATTATTTAATGCCAATAAAGACATGGTTTAACCCACATGTTTGTGTTGTTTAATTGCCTTTTATGTGTTTATGTACTGCATAGGATATAGGTTTATGTGCTGCTTTGGACATTAGGAAATTTCAACTTCCACCAGCGCTTTAATGGGATTATGTTTTTATGCTAATTTGACATGTTTAGTAGAAACATTCTGGGTGAAATGTTGTACTGTAAAATAATATGATAATGTGTCTACATTTAAAAAAAAAGTTTTATAGTAGATAAAACTGCACTGAAAAATACTTGAAAACTTTTAATGTGCTGTAATATACTTTGGTTAACTGGTTTCTAAGATACGTTTGGCTCTATCACTCAACAGGCTCAAATCAAGATGTACCGCTATATTTGCTCATGAGAGAGGAAGCACCAGCAGGTCTGCCTCAGCTGAATGAAAGTCAGTTTAAAGCTTTGGAAAAAGCTCTGAATGGCAAATTCACCATCATTCAAGGACCACCAGGTTATATATTCTGCATATTGTTTTTTTACATTGCACCAACAGATGGACCAATGGCTAGAGACACATTTGTTTTAGTATGTCAGAACACTGTTATTATCACTCATATCGCTGTTGTCTGTTGCAACTGGTCAGTGCTGTTGGCGCAGAGATTTATCCAACCCAACTATCCTTAAAGATCACAAATCAATGATCACAGTTTATGTTATGATAGTCAGATGGTATTTCCCCTAAAAAAGTGTTAATATGACTGAATGGGGTCTTGTGTTTGTTTGACCTTTATAGGAACAGGAAAGACTGTTGTAGGAGCATATATCGTGTACTGGTTCTCTCAGCTGAACTCTAGGAATCTTTGGAGGCTGAAGGACCCGACAGACAAAGACAAGAGAGAGGTTATTCTGTACTGTGGGCCCTCAAACAAGTCTGTAGATGTAGTTGCAGGTAAGTATCTTTTAAAGAACTTGAATTTGTGTGCAGCAATTTGTATTTATAAATCTAAATTTACAACTTGTGTTTACAGAATACTTGCTCAAGTTTGGAGAGAAGCTGAAGCTACTACGTGTGTATAGTCGACAGATGGAGATGCAGGAGTATCCCTACCCAGGCAGCAACCTCCAGTTATCACACAAATCACGCCAGGAGCGCTCTAAACCTGAGCTCAGGTAATATCATTGAATCAAAGCTAATGTCGAGATGATGTACAAGCTGATTTATTGTTAAAATACATTCTTGAAAATCCAATTTGTTTGCATGGCAGCCTATCTGGCATGTAAACAGTAATCACCAGTTTATCTGTTCTGTACAGTACTCAAAATCTTCACTGTCTTGTTTCTAGAGCTATAACACTTCATCACAGGATTCGAATGGGACACAATCCTTATTCACAAAGAATAACTGACTTTGATGACAGAATTAAGAGTGACCCTTACTCACTGACAGACACAGACATAGAAGAGTAAGTGTAAGCCTATGTTATTTTAATGAATCTTTCTCCCATTTATAAACTCCAAACATCAAATACATCTTTACATAACTTGAGCTTCATTACCATAATCATTTTCTGTGCATGCACATTTTGGCATCTGAGTATGTAAAGTATACAAGTGTGTGATTTAATGTGAACGTACTGTATGTCTGCATGACACTTATCTGTACCCTCAGATATAAGAAGCTGCTAAACGATGCACGTTTGCATGAACTGGAAAGGCATGATATTATTCTATGTACCTGCACGGCTGCTGCCTCCCCAAATCTCAAAAAGACGCTCAGTGCACGACAGATCCTCATCGATGAGTGTGCAATGGCAACAGAACCCCAGACGCTTGTCCCATTGGTCAGCTTCAAACCTGAGAAGGTCAGCATGACCCTTGACTCTTTCTTTAACAAACAAGTTTGGTAATTATTAAATAGTAAATGGACAGATTTATATTGATGGACATAGTGAGAGAATACTACCAGCTTACCTTTGAAAACAATACAGTAGAAATGGAAAAAATGTAATTATTTTGAATATATTTTGTACATAATATTTCATAATACAGTTATTTTATAAAGTACATTATACATATATTTATAATAGGGTTATAATTCATTCATTCATTTTCTTTTCGGCTTAGTCTCTTTAATTATCAGGGGTCGCCACATCAGAATGAACCGCCAACTTATCCAGCATATGTTTTACGCAGTAGATGCCCTTCCAAACACATACACGCTCATTCACTACAGCCAATTTAGCTTACCCGATTCACCTATAGCACACGCCGTTGGACTTGTGGGGGAACCCGAAACACCCAGAGGAAACCAACACCAATATCAGGAGAACATGCAAACTCCACACAGGAATGCCAACTAACTCAGCTAGGGCTCGAACTTGCTGTGAGGCGAACTTGCTACCTATTGCAGCACCAGAGGGTTATAATTATAAAGAAATAAATTTAAATGCAACAAAGTAAGGAAAATAAAGAATATAGCATATGATAATTAAAGGCATGTGTCCTAAGACCTAAAATAAGTTTTCGTCATGCAATAATAAATAATATTTCAATCCTAAATGCAAACTTTGTCAGCTAACATAAGATACCAGACACCAGAGACTTCTTCATAGCAAAGAAATGCCTTTCTTATTTAGAGTGTTTGTCTTGTTTCTAATCCAAATATCAAAAACACTGTTGTCAACTATTTTCAATGAAAAGGCGTCAAGCTCTGACCAAAACGTCGCTAAAAGTCAATAAAATACGTCATACGTTAATTTGCATATTTCTGACGTCATCACGTTCTGCCATTTCTGTTTGTTTAACAGGCTATGATCAATAGAGGGGTATTTATATTTGTACTACGCTTATGTAAGCATGCCAATTTAACTAAATTTATTGCTGTTGGAATACAGTATATTATTATAGATTTGGTTTTGCAGAAATCTCTCAGACGTAATAAACTCAGAGAAGTTCTGAAATTGTCACTAAAATATTTGTGTTTGTGAACAAGAAAACATTGAACGGTCAAATTAAATTATTAAAATAAAGGAGAAGCAAATCGGTTTGACAGTACTAAGGAAATACCTTTACACTGCTGGTGCTAAATCATTTGCCGTCGGTACACAGAGAGGTAATCTGCTGTCAGGCTGCAGGTGGGAGATGCTGCTGTATGAGGACTGGGCCGCCTGTCAGTGCTCTGAGGCGGGGTAGGGGACGGTGGCATCACCCGCAGCTCGTTAAGAAGAGTAGGGACTGTACAGTACGGACAAGAGACAGTCTATTAAAATTTCCAGTAACACACACAAAAAAAAAAAACTAGATTTGTCGCTAGTCGCTTTTTTGAACATTTGAAAAGTCGCTAAGTTAGCAACACTGATCAAAAAACCATAAAGCATTTTCTAGGCAAGAAAAAAAATTCTCAGAAAATTTTTTTTAAATGAGGTTTTACAGTAAAATAGGCAAAATTATACAGTTAGTTATATAGTTGGGTATTTAAAATAATCTTATTTTAAAAATAAGATTATTTTACTTACCCCACTGGCAAATTATTTAGCTTGTTTTAAGGTAAAACTATTATAAGATAATATTTTTCATTTTATAGAAATGCTTCTTGATTGACAAATTGACATTTGGATTAGAATTAAGACCAAATACATTAAGAAAGATTTGTTGTTTTTGCAGTGCTGATACTGTGCACTTCTCTGATCTTGCCTATTGAAATTTTCATTCACCACCATCTATGAGGATTTTCAGTTCCTTGTTAAACAGTCTCACACACTCATCCTGCAGGTTGTGCTGTTGGGGGATCACAAACAGCTGCGCCCGATCGTGAAGAATAACCATGTGCGGAGATTAGGCATGACACGCTCTCTGTTTGAACGCTACATGGACAGAGCAATAATGCTTGACACCCAGTACAGAATGGTACAAGTCAAACATTTATGCTTCACATATAAATGTACCTACTCATTTTTAACATTAAACTCTTCCTTTAGCATGAAGAGATCTGCAAATTCCCATCAGAGGCATACTATAACGATATGCTGAAAACTGTTGTGCGTGAACGGACAAGCGTGCTGAATGCTGAAACTGAGGGAAGAAGACAAAGCAAGCGCATTCTGTTTGGAGATATACGTGGAGAAGAAATCGGTTTAGTTGTTTCAACTGCACGAGGAAACGAGAACTCAAAAGCTAACTTTGATGAAGTTAAGAAAGCGGTAAGTAAAAGCATCAAAAAATACTATTAAAAAAAAAATATATATATATATATATATATATATATATATATATATATATATATATATATACCCTAAATATAAACCAAACACTATAGCAAAGCACAAAGGCATCTGTGATTGTGTAACTCAAAATTGACCTAATTGTTACTGTAAATATTTTAACCCTTGTTGGTTGACATAGCACCTTATATTAGAGATATATTAGAGTTAGAAGCCAAGATGTGCTTAAGGGATGTTTTTGTGTTCTGCCACAGGTTGAGATTTGTATTCAGCTGGTAACAGTGGGCCGTGTGAGACCAGAGGACATTGCCATTCTATCACCCTATAATGCACAGGTGGCTCAGATCAGAGAGAGACTGTCTGATTTCGAATTGAAGGGATTCACTGTCACCACCATTACAAAGAGCCAAGGTCATACTCAAAAATAACTTTGTTTAAATGTTTTTTTTTCTTTGGTGAGGCTTATTACCAGAGGTCAAATGTTAGGCTGAAGCGTAGGCAAAATAATTGTAAATGAGTATGCCCTCTAGCGGCGTAGCGGATGGCACCCACCACTCCGCATACCCCCCTCTTCAGTTTCATATAGCTCCAACTACAACCTCACCCAAACTGAAGATCGCTCCCTTCAGCTCTTCAGTTTCAGATGGTTCTCCCACTCGACTTCTAACCAGGGGGCCCCGTCAATAATCCGTGCAGGGGGGGCCCTGCATTTTTCACTACGCCACTGATGCCCTTTTTAATTTTGTTAATGTCTAGTTTAAACATGACTTTAAACATTGGCAGATCACTGTGCCATTCAGGGTGCTGTCACACCTACACTTTAGTTTCGGAACGTATCTCGTTTGCCCAGTTAGCGCGGTTCGTTTGGCATATGTGAACAGGGCAATCGCGCTCTGTTCCACGCCAAAGTAATCGCTCCGAGATTGCTTGAATGAGGTGGTCTCAGCTCGATTGAAATGAACCCTGGAGCGGTTCGATTGCAGTGAGAAAGCGATCCGAGCGCGGTTATATCACAGTGTTTTATGGATATGTAATAGGCTTACAGCTAAATGAAGAGAGAATTATAAGTATGGCGGGAAGTTTCGCGAGTCTCCGGATGCCCGCAAACGAGTGATGATCTCTCGGTAATCTCGCGTCTCCCTCCCGGTTCTCAAATAGGCATCGTCGCGCACCCTTCTCACCCCTCCCCACCGCGTCTCTCCTCAGACACGTCACGCGCGTGCACCCTGTCAATCACCACCAAACCACCACCTCTCCTGACAGCTGAGCTGGACGCTGCAAAATAAACCCTGACACTCTGACCAATGTGAGGAGAGTTTACTCGCACGTCACTTATTTTAGCTTTTTTGGTCCGATTAGAAACTTTGCAGTGTGAAAGCGAACCGCTTCGAGAGCAAAGAGCAACAATGTAACAATTGTAATCTCTGTTTCGGAACAACTGAATCGATTCACAGGTGTGAAAGCACCCTCAGACTACATGATTTGATATTGTGTCTTTTAATGTGTTCATACTACACAACACTATGTAAATGACACACAGGAGGGGGTCACACACTACAAGATATGACAACAACTCTGTCACTCAACAAACCTCATATCACAGCCAATAAAATGTTGAGGGCGGAGCCGTCATACAGAGCTGAACACTATTGGCTGCTTGTGTGATGACATTACTGACACACAGCTTTTAAAATTGCTCTAAAAGCATCATATATCGCTCATAATTCATATGAATATGTATATACATGTCACTCATATATCTGCACAGTTCAGCTGATTTAAGTTGTGGCTTTAATTTGCTCTTATGTCTGTAAATACAGGGTGAAGCGAGTACATCAATGACCATACTGGCTAATCACAGACATTTCTGTTGAGTGTGTGAACACAACAGCTGGTCAGCTTATGACTTGCTCTCATTGGCTGTAGCTCATCTCTACATTTGACGCCAATCAAATGTAGTTTGATTGGTAATGTAATCAAACGTGGGGTTGAGTCAGCTAACTGGTCTGAAATATCTAGCCTGCTTGATATTAAATTTGCATCTGCGAGATGTCAGCGATGAGTCTCTTTAATGCGTCATTCAGAAGTTCACACATGAACTTGTTAATTTGCAAATCGGGCTTAAAATCTTGTAGTTATAGGTTGTTGAATAGTTTTCAGTTAAACATTGTTTGGGACTGTTTTCAATTAAATCATTATTTCCGTTAATCTTCAACCTGCTTTCTTAAAAAAAGGTGACGACTATTTGTATTTTGATGATGTGCTTGCAGGTAGCGAATGGCAGTATGTGATACTGTCAATAGTTCGTTCCTGTCCCAGTGATGAGATTGAACCTATGCCTTCAAGGGAATGGCTCTCCAAACACATTGGTTTTGTGGGCGATGAAAACCAGATAAATGTGGGCATCACAAGAGCACAAGTCGGCCTGTGCATTCTGGGTAATCCTTACCTGAACATTACATTATACTAGGAACATTTTCAAATGATTTATTCATATAAATGACTGAATAATACACATATCAGCATCCTAATATCACAATGTTTAATTGAAAATAATGTCATTTTTAATGTTTACTGACTGTTATAAAATACTAATTTTTATTTATTCTGTACTCTAGGTAATCAAGCAGTACTGAACTGCAGCCCAGCGTGGCAGAAACTACTGAAACATTATTCAGGTCATGGCTGTGTGGTCACTGCAGACCAAATAACAGTACACAGGGTCCGTTAAATCAAGTTGGATTTATCTTGAAGCGTTTTACAATCAGTGTGTAAATATATATTTTTTACATTTGTATTTTTAATAATCCCTTGCAAATTTTTATCATTCCACCCCTATTTTAATGTAGGTACGATTGGTTTAATGAACAAACATATATGAAAATGTAGCCATTAATATAATTTTCAATCAATTTAAACTATGGCAGCTTGAGAAATGAAATTGCATATATTTTGCTACCTATATAGTTATATGTCGTATAACTATACAACGTTTTGTTGATTGCTTGTTTTTATTCTTACATTTCCACAAAATACAAAGCCACAAATTGTCTGAATTGTCTCTTTTTAAGGCAATGTTTAAGCTGCAGACAAATCTTTTAAGGCAAACTGACCACTATTTTTACTTTTGTAATAATTTAGCTTTACTTACGTGACAAGGTGTTCAAAACTGATGCAAGAAGTGCATCACATTTTTGATGTTCCATATAGTCACAGCTGACTTCGCTCAGGCATTTTTTTAAAATACTGATGTGTGTCCTGTTAAAAGTAATGCAAAAATGTAAAATCAAAAATGAGAATTGACATACAGTACATCTAAAAATTTTTTGTTATTGTTTTACAAACATTCACAAACCAATCTGGATAAAAGGTGGATACGAAACATATTATGGCAGTCTAAACATAGCCTTAATGTTGCACTGGCTGGTGCTGGTGCCTGATATGTCTTTTATAATATACATAGCAGCTATTTTCTAAAGGTGCTATATGAAATTCATGTTGAAATGAACTTTTATTTAATCATCAACGATTTGTATTTGTGTGCATTTATAAATAAATAAAACATTTGAGCTGCAAAATACATTAGTGTCTGTCTGTTTTAGTATCTATGTACTTGAGCTAACCTGCATTTCATTAACTGTTTCATTGACCAATTAAGTAAAACATCCACTCCATAACTAACCCAAAGAAGTCAACATAGACGAACAGGTCAAGCTGAGGAACAGGAATTTTAGCCAAATATTTCAGACAACTCTCATCTAATGAACGACGACTTACATTTAGAGATAATTTCTCAATTTTTCTTTAGATGATCCATTTCAACGAAAAAATGGGACGAAAAGCCAATGATATCAGACAGTAAACCCTTTTCGTACCTGTATCATTTTCTGTGGGACACCCACACAAACAAAAATTGTGTAGAATGTCCGGAGTGAAATTTAATGGATGAAAGGAAATATCATTACCTCGTATCCACATGACTTAAAAGTTGCATAACGATTCTGGGGGAAAGCAAACAGAAATTTAATTATCTTTTTACCGAAGGTAGCTTCCCAACAAACACACAACGTTGCCTCAACGTAGCGACCTTCATACAACGTTGTACCAACATTGTAAAAAGGTTGAGGATTCTACGTTGTTGCTAAAGGTTGTCACAACGATGTCATAAGGTTGCCATTTAAACATCATGAGGGTCGCATGCTTTAGGTTGTGCTTAGGTGGCGTGGACGACCACTGTACAACATTTACTGGTCACAGCTGAATCAGTTTAAATTTCAACAAGCCGTCGTCTCATTCATCAACGACCGAGGAGACGTGAGTATTGCTTTATGTCTTCTTGCTAAATAAGATACGTAAATCGTGAATATTCAAACAAACCTACGATTTCGACAACAATCTGTTCCAACATTACACACACACACAAAAGCCGTAATTATTACGAGCGAGTAACATTTCGGCAATCCGTTAACGGACGGCAACAACATTAAAATCATTATGTTAAATCTCTCGATAAAACATTTCCTGATTATTTACCTACGCCTTGTCTTTAGTCAAATGGACAATAATGTTTTTGAACTTCAGTTTTCTCCATATCCATCGTGATCAGTTAGTATGATACTTCATCACACGAGCCGACCCACTTTTTACAAAACACACAAAATAACTTTTAAAAACAAAACATCTCTGTGCAGATTGCGTCCCGTTAAAGGAACAGTTCACTCAAAAATGATATGTACTCACGAATTATTTGCCCTGTAAGTAATAAGTGATTCCAAACCTTTAGGTTTCTTTATTCTGTTGAACACTAAAGACTGTAAGCATTTGCTTTCATAGTAGGAAAAGACTATGGAATTAAATAGTTACAGTTTTCCAGCTTTATTTAATATATCTTCTTTATTGTTTAGCAGAAAAAAGCTAAATAAGTTTGCAACAAATAAAGGATGAGGCTAAAATGGCAGAATTGTCAGTTTTGGGTGAGCTATCCCTATAAGTTAAAGTATATAAATTAATGTTCATATGCCTAATTAATATAGATAGTAATTAAAAGGTCTGCTAGTCTAAATTTCTATTTTGATTGGTCTTTTGATGTTTTATTTAAAACCCACTCTTTTCTTTGCTCAACAGGCTATTTTTACATGGAGGTAATCTTCTATTGATAATTTCTGGATTTTATTTATGCGTAAGTTGCATAAAACTCTATTGTTTAATCACTCACTGTTGTTTTCAAATTACTCATGTAACTTGTCTTTCAAAATGTTTTCAGCTGTTGAATTCACCTCAGATCAGTGTTGCTGTAATTCCTGATCTATGGAAAGAAGAATTGAATAAGGTAAGAAGTACACTACTCTATTTACTATTAAATGTAGTTATGTTACCTAAAACAGCATGTCCATAGTGTGGAAAATAGATCATGCTTATGAAAAATTACTTTATTATTTTGTACAGCTGTTATTGAAATGACACTAAGTTTAACATTCCATTTACAGCGAGCAACGCCACAACTACAGGGCCTGTTCTTTCTCTACTCATAATTTAAGTAAGTATTCGGAGACTAACTCTGACTTCTGTTAACTCAAAACTGTTTTCACTGTATCTCTAAATTTATTTAATTGTATGTAATTTTGGTATATGATATATTATTAAAACATTAAAATAAAGTAGGCTACATAATTACTCTGGAGATTTTATATGTAATGAAATTACAATAAATGTCTGAAACTTCAATAACTTGCTAGTTATAGTCATTTCCTGTGAAGTGCTGTTGTGTCAAGCTCTGATCTGTCCTCTCTTGTTCATTGCCTATTTTGACTTGTGTCTGCTGTGGATCTCTGAAGCTGGATTATCCGTTGAATTTGTTTCTTCCTCTGACTGCTTTCTCCATACCAACAACTACGACTGGTCTTCAGCTGCGCTCCCCGGTCTGCTGTATTCTCCAGTCCAGAGTTTCACTGCCCAGTGTTTGAATTTTAATTTATATATTTATTTATATATTTATTTACATTTTAATGATTTCTTGTTTACTTTTCTTGTTTGTTTACCCTTTAGTTTAATTTATATATATATACTTTTATATATTTATATATATATATCTAAACTTTATTTTATACTGTTTGCTTATAATTAGATACTGTATGTGTACTGTATGTATTAAATGTTGTGAAATATATAATAAAAAGTTTGATTATTAATTTGTGTGGCATTTTTACACTTTAAAGTTTACACATGCAGTTGTTAAATTAAATAGGAAAAATAAATGAACAATATTTCATATTAAGCAATACTGGAAAATAATTGCTGCTTATCCTGTATTCTAGGCAGTATTGATAAACTGCCACAAAAAATATTAATACAAGTAGTAAGAACGCCGCCTCGCGGTTGCTGAATGTCGCACGACAACGTTGCTACAGCCTTCTCTCGTCTTACATTTCTACGTTGTGACAATGTAGCGAGCACGTAAGCGGCAACGTTGCCTTTAAAAAAATACAACGTTGTGCAGACATTGCTACAACGTAAATGTGTTTGTTGGGTTACCACTCTATTCACTGTGGCCACGCACACGGTAAGAAAATTGGCGCCAAAATAGATTTAGCATTTGTAGCATGTCACGTCAAAGGCGGAAAAGCGAATGATATTGAGTCACATGACTGAAGATTCAAGTAAAAAATGCTTTAAATTTAGGCAGAAAGTTAGGCTTCTGTGTCGGAAAAAAGATATGTATCTAGCAACAATAACCCCCACCAACCACAAGATGGCGCCTAATGACTTCAGTTTATTTTCTCTTTTTGCGTCTTCCATGCAGGAAGGTTTTAAGATCTTAAGCATCTTTAAAAATCTGGGATTTAAACTATTAAGTAATTTAAGCTATACTCAAATCAATCTGAAGAACATAATAATCCGGATTCATGTAGTTTTGAGCACTGCTGCCATTACAGCAAATGCTCCTCAAAAGAGCCAGAGGCTTCTGTCTTTAATCATTTAAAAGTTCTGTATAAGGCTCATAGATAACATCTTATCCCTTACAAAGACAACAATCAAAGTTAAACTGTTTGTTTGCTGGCAGTGGATACTTATTACCTCATTTGGGATTGGGAGTTTGAACACAAGAGAAGACAGATGGATAAAGCCTTAAAAAGACATTAAATATTTACTACAGCCTCTTCCAAGTCAAATTTTATTTAAGTGATAGGGAGAAATAGGTACCAAATTATTGAAATTAATCTTGTAAGAAAATGTGTTTGTCTTTATATTAAAGTGCCATATCTAAAAAACTAAATGTACTTTGCTGACTTAATTTGATGTCAGACAGTGGTGCAAAAATTTACTAACTTTCCAAACACCAATTTCAAACATTTAGTCTCTAAAATGCACAAGGACACAAATGCAGATAGATAGTACAGTAGAAAAGGAGATATCAACACAACAGAGGCACAACAGAGGGTGGTAAAGGCGCAAAACAACTTGATTATGTTCCCTTTATCAGTCCTAAATGATTTTAATATTGTTCCCAGTTATCACTCATAAGTCTTCTTTCATTCTCGTCCAAAGAGCTCAAATTCAAAATGTTTTCATTTAAAGATGTTGCGCATTCATTGCTTATGTGAATTAAGTCTTCACTCAGGATTGTGAAAATACAAGGAGGAATGAACAGTCCCACACACTCAATAAACAAGCACATTGTGCTGTTTACAGAAGTATTCTGACCTCATCATATCACAGTCCACATGGTAGCTAAAACTGCTCACTGAATCCTGCATTATGTAAACTCTGTCCCCTCCCCTTAGTTTAAGTTATAATTGATGGGCTGCATTAAATATTTTATGGATTATAAGTCACTACTTAACATTATAGGTTCACCTTAATTTATCGTGCTGGTGTCATCGAGCATGTGCCCAGGATTTTGTATTGTCAAAATATCATTGAATGCATCCATTTAATTAACTGCAAATGTGTGCTCTTTCTGTTATGCAAGCATAAAAATAATGACCTGTTGACAAATTGATGAAATTGTTATGTCAGTTTTTCTTACTCTTTTAAAGTAGTATTTGTGTTTTTTTCCACTTGCCCAGTTGTAGTAAACCAGGGGTCACCAACCTTTTTGAAACTGAGAGCTACTTCTTGGATACCAATTATTGTGAAGGGCTACCAGTTTGATACACACTTCTTAAATAACATTTTTTCTCAATTAACTTTTAATTATTTGTTGTTATTATTAATGATTAATGATATTCATCTATGTAAAGACACTGATCATGATTTCTCACAATAGTTCTCAACAATGATTTACAAGGAAAGAAACAGAAATATCAATATGCAACACTTTATTTGTCTGAAATAGTTTTAGTTTATATATATATATATATATATATATATGTATATATATATATATATATATATATATATATATATATATATATATATATATATATATATATATATACCTTAATAAATATAAATATACCTTAATGTCATTACCAAATTTTGCACCAATGCAGGTGTGATTTAAAAAAATAGCTTCAAAAAATACTAGATTCAGCTTACTGGTATGTGGTGCAATGGTGAGCTATTTTTAGAACAGGTCTGTTGGCAACTCATGTAATCTTCGTGGGCTACCTGGTGCCCATGGGCACCATGTTGGTGCACCCATGCAGTAAACACTGAGTTGTCAAATAGAATACAGAGGTATTGAATTTGTACTCTTTGACTCAATTCTATTATCAAGTGATTCATTTATTTGTTTACATTTATTTTTTTTTTTGGTCTGTTGACATCTATAATATTTTTCATTTTCTTTCTTATCAGCTTAGTCCCTTTATTAATCAGGTGTCGCCACAGCGAAATGAATTACCCTATAATATTTTCTATTTACAGAATTAATTCCAAATGCTAATAATCCAGGCTTGAATGTTTTGAATGGACATTTTATTTAAAAATCATATGGAAACATTTTTGAAATTATAACTAGAACGAGTGCACCTATTACAACTGAAAACAAAATTATTTGAACGTGTTACAGCTAAACAAAAGCAGCAATTTCAACTTAATTTAGTGCATTTCTTCTCATAAATTAAGTTAGCAAAAATATCATTCTTTTAGGTGTAAATTTGTTTAACTCGATCCAATGTTGTAGTTTTGTCCAGTAAACACGTATTGCAGGTTTTATAGATTATATATTATAATTTTTAATGTCTGTAAGTAGAGTTCAACATGATCTATGCTTATTTTGAAATACATTACAGAATACTACATTTGTTTTTTGCATATGCACGTATGCCTAGATTGTCAACAAGTGTTTTTGTTGTTTTATATTCCCTTTCTTTTTTTAGATCCTGTTGTGTCACTGTCAAAAGTGCACATGAATTTTTCAAATTCCATGTATTTAGTTTCCCAATGGTGCCAAACGGGGACCTGCCTTCTTTCGCAAATGTATTTACCAACTAATGATTAACAAAACTCCAAACAACAGAGCATTTCTGTTCTCCTTTAAATATGAGTGTGTGACTACAGTACGTTCAATTTTAGTTTGTTCTTTTTAAAAAGAACCTCTATGTATTTGTGAGTATAACAATGTGCTTAATATACGTTTTTGGAGCACTGGTCATAACAAGTGGAGTTTTTTGCCAAGGCACGGCAGCTTTACAGCCAGCGGTTCGAGGTAAGGTTTATTTGTTCAGAATTACTTTTTTCCCCTCATGCACATACATACACCTCTACACACGTATTCTCTTACTGTACACACATACACAGCGTGTTGGATCTGTTCAAGCCTGTCTCTTTCCTCCTCACCTCCCTTAATAGACCTGTTTGTAGCAGTGGGTTCATCTGTGAAGATACCATGCACTGACGGAGAGGAAAAAGGGGTGGAGTGGAGATTTAACAGCTCAGTGCTTGTCTCAAGCCCAGTTATCTCCATACAGAACGCCAGTTTGAAGGACCAAGGCATCTACACCTGCCAAAAGCAGACTGGAGATGTGGTGCAATCTGTATCTCTACATCTGGGATGTAGGTTTATGCACATTTTATATAATTCTGTGTACACACTGTTAAATACAAAGCTTTTTTATAATTAAAGGTTCCATGAAGAACACCAATAGAACATGTATACATAAGAATTTTAGCATTGTTCAAATTGCTTATTTAAAATAAGCTGAATCAACAAAATTCTTGAGTTTTTTTATGGACAACTGAATTATTTTATGTTCAATCCACTTACATTTGTAAAAACAATTAAGTTAACTTAATGGATTTATGTTGGGGCCACATGAGGGAATTGTGTGGAATCACAAAAGATTCTTTAGATCAGGGGTCACCAAACTTGTTCCTGGAGGGCCGGTGTCCTGCAGATTTTAGCTCCAACCCTAATCAAACACACCTGGACAAGCTAATCAAGGTCTCACTAGGTATACTTGAAACATCCAGGCAGGTGTGTTGAGGCAAGTTGGCGCTAAATCCTGCAGGGACACCGGCCCTCCAGGACCGAGATTGATGACCCCTGCTTTAGATTATTTAAATTCTCTTCACACTAAGAATATTAGAGATTCTGTACAGTGTGGTTCCTCTAACAGTCTAATTTGGAACCTTTATTTTTACATTTAGTCATTTAGCAGAGCTTTTTGTCCAATGCAACTTGTAAACTCAACAAATCAACATAAAGAGGCAATACAAACAAGTGCTATTCGCAAGGAAACTATTAGTGAAATAAGAGCTAGAGGAAGGAGGGTGAGACTTTTATTATAAGAGCGTGGTAATCATTGTCTCGGATATTTCACCTGTAATGTTTGCTCTATTCAGATCCCCCATCTCCCCCGCATGTGCATTGTTGGTCTCCAAGTTACCCTAAGAGGGCAATCTGTTCTTGGACACTGACTTCAGACCCAATACTTCCAACCCAGTATATTGCTACATACAGGTATCTTACAATTTCTCAACTAAAGGTTCTTCATTGGCATTAAAGGTTCCAAAACAACAATTGCACTGTTTCTTCTTTCATTCATGTTCTACACAATAAGAGAAAAAAATATCTTTTAATAAAGTGTTTACTGAAATTTTCTTTGTTTATATTTTTTTCTTTCTTAAAAGTACAGAACTACCATTTGGAGTTTTTACTTCTACAGTATCAGAGTTATTTCATTGGACATATTTGGGATTTTTAAAATATAACATTACAGTGCAAAATACTTAATGATGTCTTTCTGTTTTTATATTTAGGAACTTTTCAGACCCAGTTTCAAGTGCTCGTCAATGCCAGAAATGGGGAGACCAAGACAGGCAATGTGCATTAGAGGAACTGGAGATATTTGCGAGAGAACCAACTCTTATCAACATCACAGCGGTTAATGCTCTCGGTAGCGCAACACAAATCCAACCATTTATTTTTGAGCAAATAGGTGAGAAATTGTACAGTCCTCTTCTACCATTTTTTTTCACCATACAGAGTTATATGATCCATAAATTATGACAACACACATTTGACATTTTGATTAAGTGAAGTTTATTCATAAACTAATTTCGAGAGGATCACGTGCTTATGATTTATCACGTCCAGTCTCGTATTTGCTAATCACTAATCTTCCAATCATATGAGCCCTAAGGCACTATAAATAGCCTCAGTTTTCAGTTCACTTTATCTTCGTTTGGAAGAAAGCCCCCTCCTCCCCTATTCTCCTCCTTTACCTGCGATTGGGCGGCACGGCGGTCCAGTGGTTAGCACTGTGAACCACACAGCAAGAATAACGCCGGTCCTAGTTCTATAGGACCGGTGAGTGTTTCTGTGGGGAGTTTGTATGTCCTTCCCGTGTCCGCAAGGGTTTTCCCCGGGTTCTCCGGTTTCCTCCCACCATCCAAAGACATTCAACATACATAACAATCAAGCTTGTCTAATTCCTTACGTTCCCTTAGCTACAGCAGCAGGGGAGTTCTGAGATCCACCGAGCTCAGGCTCCCTTCTTGCTCTGCCAACGGGAGGAAGCCCCGGGCTCGAGGAGCCCTTGAGCTCGGGGCTCTCTCGCGGGACAGCATGCCAAATAAGCTTTGTAAATCATCAGCTCAGTGTGAACTCTTGAAAATGACTTGTAAGGTTAATTCAATTCACCCCAAGTTTAAGGTAATCAATCTTTTTTAGTGTCAACTGATTTACTTGTTTTTTTTTTTGTAATATTAACTTCTTTCTACATTATACAAGGAATTTTTAATCATATCACCATTATGAAAAAATATGAAATAAATTAAGTAGCTTTGGGTGGTTTGTGTCACAACAGAAAACATTGTAGTGACAAAAGAGATGCTTTTCTTATCAAGCTCTTATCAATGTTCTCATCTTGATGCGTATGCCTTGCACTCATATTGAGTGTTTTAATTGCTGTGCTTTGTTGGTCTGTAGTGAAACCTGATCCTCCGGAGAATGTCAGCGGGATAATAATGCCAGGCAGGAAGGTGTCTGTGCAGTGGAGTCCACCGCACACATGGCCAGATCCTGTCAACTTTCTCCTTAAATACAAAGTCAGATTCCACTGGGGCAAACCGGAAACTGCTAGAACTGTGAGTTTCATGGGTTAACATTAAAGTAGCAAAACCAAAATGACAGCAAAATCATAACTTTAACACTAGAACCGCCAAGAGGTCAAATGTACTGTTATTATGTTATTAGTCCTTCTGTGATTTTTTTAAATTTATTTTTCGAATACTTCCTAAATAATGTTTAACAGAGCAAGGACTTTTTTTCACAGTATATCCTGTAATATTTTTTCATCTGGAGAAAGTCTTATTTGTATTATTTCAGCTAGAATAAAAGCAGTTTTTAATTTTAAGGTCAGTATTAGTAGCCCCCTTAAGCAATATTTTTATTTCCGATCATCTACAGAATAAACCATTGTTTAGAAATGTGTTGAAAAAAATCTTTCCGTTAAACAGAAATTGGGGAAAAAATAAACAGATTTTCAATAACACTTCACCTAGTTTTCAACTTTTACTAAAAATGCATTATGCAAATGCCTGTTGTGAATAGATTTGCTAGCAGCATCAGAAAGTCAGATTTACCTATATAATGCCATTATTTTCCAACCACTTAAAATATTAGATTCCTATATTCAATTCATCTTAATTTATGTACCGTTTCTACAATGTAGTCTGTGTTAAAGCAGCTTAACATAGATGTTCTAGTAAATAGGAACTGCTTCAGTCCAGTTTTCACAATTGAAGTTCAGTTTAGTGTGTCATGTCATGCCATTTTTATCCGCTTATCCGGGGCAGGGTCACGGGGGCCTCAGTCTTAGTAGAGAACCCCAGACTTTCCTCTCCCCAGACACTTCCTCCAGCTCCTCCAGCAGGATCCCGAGGCGTTCCCAGGTCAGCCGAAAGACATTGTCCATCAAGAGTGTCCTGGCTCTTCCCTGAGGCCTCCTCGCAGTGGGACATGCTTGGAACACCTCCATAGGTAGGCGTCCTGGAGGCATCCGAAACAGATGCCCGAGCCACCTTAGCTGACTTCTCTCGATGTGAAGGAACAGCGGCTCTACTTCGAGCTCCACCCGGGTGACAGAGCTCCTCACCCTATCTATAAGGATGTGCCCTGCCACTATGCAAAGGAAACTAATTTCAGCTGCTTGTATCCGAGATCTTGTCCTTTCGGTCATGACCCAAAGCTAATGACACTGGTGAGAGTAGGAACATAGGTTGATTGGTAAATCGAGAGCTTTGCCTATGGCTCAGCTCCTTCTTTACCAAAACGGACAGGTACATTGACCGCATTACTGCTGCCGCTGCACCGATCCGTCTGTCAATCTCACGCTCCATCCTTCCCTCACTCGTGAACAAAACCTAAGACACTTGAACTCCTCCACCACTTACTCCTCCATGGACCGCCACCTTATCAGGGTGAAGGGGTTTGAGTGCCTGAGTGATCCTAAGAGCTATGTTGTCGGGGGTTAATGCCCCTGGTAGGGTTTCCCAAAGCAAAAAGATCTTAGGTGACAGGTGTGGTTCAAAAACCCCTTATGAACATAATGACATCGAGGGCCGTGACGTTGCACTGTATGGCGCAGCCGGGGTCCCACCCTGGAGCCAGGCCTGGGTTTGGGGCTCATATGCAAGCACCTGGTGGCCGGGTTTTTTCCCGTAAAACCTGGCCGAGCTTAGCCCGAAGGAGCGACGTGGGACTATCCTCCTGCAGGCCCACCACCTTAAGGGGGAGTCGTAATGGGAGTGGGTGGTGGTTGAAGGTTAGGACCACGACAACCCAATCGTCAAGCACAGAAACTGGATCAGTTTAGTGTAATAATGTAAATGTCACTGCTGAAAGCACAAACACTAGATACAGTACAACGAAATAAAGGGATGGGGATGACGATACTTGGATCATTATACAATATTACTGTGCTTGTAAGTTTGGAATATATAGCAATATATATATATATATTTTTTTTTTTTTTTTTTTTTCATATTTCAAATTTGATCTCAAAAGGAAAACTTTGCAAAAATGTGTTTTAACCAAACAGAAATATTTCTGACTTTTAAATGTTGTATACACCTTTCTATGACTCCGCCATCTTTATTTTACTAACTTGCTGCATGCTGAAGGCGACCCAGCTAACCTCACCAGAACAAAACCAAAACCACCATCTAGAAAGACTGTAAATAAACTGATTTTAATATTCAACTAAATAGTATAATAAAATAAAATATTGGTGATGTATTGATATCAGCGTCAGGCACCACAGCAAGAGGGTCACTGGTTCGAGTCCCAGCTGGTATTTCTGTGTGAAGTTTGCATGTTCTGCATGTGTTGGCGAGGGTTTCCTCCAGCTGCTCCGGTTTCCCCCACAGACCAAAGACAGACTATAGGTGAATTGCATAAAAAAAAAGGCCATAGTTTGAGTGTGTTTGTGTGTGAATGCGAGTGTATGGATGTTTCCCAGTACTGGGTTGTGTCTGGAAGGGCATCTGCTGAGTAAAACATATGCCGGAATTGTTGTTCATTCCACTGTGGCAACCCTCGACAAATAAGGAACTAAACCGAAGAAAACTGAATGAATGAATGATATCGGCGCCCATGTATCAATATTGTATAGTTGTGGAAAATATTGCGATATGATGCTGCATTGATTTCCCCTATCACTAGATCATACCAAAACCACTTTTCACGAATGAAAATAATAATAAAAAAAGTTCTAGTTAGTTAAAAAATGATTCAGCTGAACAGATAACAGTACTACAGTAGTCATGTGAATGGGTCATTTTTACCTGCTGGATGTTTTAGTTCTACAATACGCCTTGGTGATTCTTGTGTTAAGAGGCAGGAATGAAACATGATGGTTATTTCATGCTTTAATGTTTATTGTTTTCTAGCTGGGCCCTTACGAGTCTAATAAAATGGTTCTGAGTGGACTGGTGGCAGGAAGGACGTATTACATCCAAATATCAGCAAAGGACATTCTTGATGATGGACAGAGCAGTGAATGGAGTGCACCAATACACATCACTATACCTACTATACTATACCTAAAGTGATGGATCTCGGCTTCAACCATTCTGTCAATAAACTCAATAAATTATTGCTATTATTCAAGCTCAATGTGCAGATTTGTCTTTAAAAATAACAAACACTTGCATCATATATATATATATATATATATATATATATATATATATATATGTGTGTGTGTGTGTGTGTGTGTGTGTGTGTGTATTTACTTGATAGAAGTAAAGCTTGTAAGATGTAAAAAGCTTGTAAAATGACGTTTTTACAGATTTTTATCTTTTTTTCAGTACCAAAATAGTTTTTTTTTTAGTATCTGGACTGTAGAAATTGTCTTGTTTCAATTTTATTGTTTAAAGAAAAATATGCATCAATGGGGTATAAAACAATCGTAATTCCAAAAAAAGAGAGAGACTTTTAACCCTGTTGGCAGATATTTGTAAACATAACGTAAAGCATTATTAAAAAATATAAAGATAATAATATTTTACAATACTCTATATCTTTTGTTATTTGGTTAAATGTATTTGATTTAGGAATGTTCAAATATTTGCACAATGAAAAGCAATCACACTTCATCAATACAAATAAATAAAAATAAATAAATAAATAAATTAAAGTCATTATTCATTTATTCATTTTCCTTCAGTTTAGTCTCTATTTTAGTGGTCGCCATAGTGGAATGAACCGCCAAATATTCCAGCATATGTTTTACACAGTGGATGCCCTTCCAGCCGCAACCCAGTACTGGAAAACACCCATACACTCTTGCATTCACACACACACAAACACGCAAACACACACACACACACTCCAATTTAGTTTATCCAATTCACTTATAGCGCAGGATTGTGGGAGAACCCAAAGGAAACTCATGTGAACGTAGGGAAAACATGCAAACTCCACACAGAAATGCCAACTGGTCCAGCCGGGACTCAAACCAACAACCTTCTTGCTATGAATAATACAAAACAATACAATTCAATGTTTTTTTAGGGGCTTTCACCTTTAGGACCTCAAGCCAGGAATCGAACTTGGATCACCTTGAGCACCTACGTTTCGATGCTCTAACCACTAGGCTACTGGCACCGACATAATGCATAATACTGTTTTAAAAGAATTTGTGGCACATGCTGTTGGTATTAAAGCATTATGTATACACCATTAAATAAATGACTAATATTTTAACCTCAGCCACATCATCCTGCAGACCAAGACCGGTTACTCACTGAAGCTAAGCAGGGCTGAGCCTGGTAAGCATCTAGATGGAAGACCATAAAAACCAGGTTGCTTTTGGAAGTGGTATTAGAGAGGCCAGCAGGGAGCGCTCAACCTGTGGTCTGTGTGAGTCCTAATACTCTAGTAAAGTGAAGGGGACATTATACTGTCAGTGAACATCATCTTTTGGCTGAGATATTAAACCAAGGTCATGACTCTCTGTGGTCATTAAAAATCCCATTAATTGGAATTTAATGCAGTGCTTCTTGTTCGGTCTGAGACCTGTAAGAATGAGTTTTAACCACAGCGGTTCGAACTGTAGTTCTGCCGAGCAACTAAAAAGTTATCAGCGTGATGGTAAAAAAACTGTACATTTCTAGTCAAACCATTCTTCTGCAATCTCATACCAAAAACGGAAATAGGGGCAGTATTAAATGCTATAAATGTGGGAGAGCGTTGATATTATGTGATTGTATTGTATTGCTATATGGAACAATTAAATGTTGATGTTAAATCAAAAGTAATTCACAAATACTTGAAAATTAGATGATTTAATGACAATAATACTCTATGGTTACAACTGTATTAATTACAAACAACTGTATAAAATGATAAAATATGAAATGATAAAACATATGATTATTGTACCCAGCTTAAATGTAAAATTAAAGTTACCAGAGGTAGAAGGAGAGACACAGGGGGAGGGAGAGAGAGACAAATAGAGCAGGCCCAGAAGATAGCCTTATTGCAGTAGAGTCAAAGAAGACAGACTCCAGAGGATAGGAGCAGAGCAGGAAAACACAGGCTAGGAAAAGAGAGGGCAGGAAAAGAGCCAGAGCTAGAGTTTACCACCTATTTTGTATCTTTCTTGACCATGTGACTAAAGCCCAAATGATCATCATAAAACCCCCAAAGTCCACACAACAAGCGCTGATCTTATCAGTATCTGTCTTTGTGGTCAGTATGGACCTTCTTGAGTCAAAAAGACATGTTTTGTCATATAAACAAATGCATATGATAATTTAGCCTCTTACAGACCCACTTCATATCGTATATCAGGCAGTAAAGATAATTGATTTTTAAATAAATCAGACCTTAAACATGGGACTTTTAAAATGGAAAGACAGTTTACAGGAAGTGCTAAGGCTGGCGGGCTGAAATGTAAAGTCTGTGTGCATATACCCCAGTAATAATAGTCGTGAAGTAAGAAATTAAATAGCCAGAGATGACGCAATTTTTTGACAATAAATTGAAAAAGAATCTGTTTTTGATACTCATTTTAATTTTTGAATGAAAATGATCTCTAACCTGTTTATTACATATTTATTTAAATTTTTATTACATGGATATTATGTAGCACACATTTTATATTTATTAATTCTATTAAAGTTTTTAATGTCATGTAATGATCCATGAAAATTGATGTGAATGAAACTGAAAACCACTCGTTCACTCAGTAGTTCCTCACACTTCTCTTTATTTTCCCCTTAAAATTCTTGTAAACACTCTGTGATCTAACACGCATCTAATACACCCATGTCGTCTCAATTTAATCTAATACATCAACAATCAGTGGCGTTACAAACTCGGAGTGACGGACCCCCAGAGAAACAGATGGTGCTCGGGGCAGGTGCGCCGTCACCTTTTCAGAGCTGTACGTACCCGGACCAGGCTTCCCGGTGCTGTCGATGAGAATATTATGACGGCTCTGCATGGAGAAGGAAGGCTGTCTGTTCAAGTAAACGCTGGGGTCTGTGCTGTTGTACCGGCCTGGCCCCGGGGTCATGGACAGATCTTCAGACGGGCCGCCTGCTTTCATGCGAGCAGACATGGTGAAGCAGGGGCTGGAGGGTTTGCAGGACACTGTGGTACCGAAGAGATTGGGTAAGGTGTAGCGGTTAGGTGCTGGTACAGGATCCACACTGCGGTAGCGCGTGCGGGAGGACATGGTGTAAGATGGAGGTCTGTGGTGGAGGTTTAAAGGTGGAGCTTTCTCAGGACTGTAGGCTCCTGGTCCTGGAGTCTGGAAGGTACTAGCTGATCAAAAAAAAAAAAAAAAACAGAATCAACAACTGCTTCATGCAATGGAGGATTTAGGCGACTTCAAATTGACAGTTTTCTTTATAAATTGCTCAAAAGGTATTGTGCATGGCTATTTTTCATTTAACATTAAAGGATTAATTCCTCACAAAATGACAACTCTGTCATCCTTTACTCACGCCCATGTTGCTACAAACTTGAAAGACTTTTGTTGGCCATCAGAAAAATGTATGTGTCTGTAGTTTGGAAATACATTTTGAAATGAATTGAGTTGATATAATAATGTACTCTTCTGTTGTTGTTATATACAGTTCAGGGCAAAATTAGCCCTTTTGACATTATTATTATTAATTAATAATATATTTATTCTTTTTCTAATATTTCTTATGTCATATTTAAAGGAGTAAGAAAAATTTCAAAGTATTTCCAATAATATTTTTTCTTCTAGAGAAAGTCTTAATTGTCTTAAAGTCAATATTTTAAGGTCAATATAAGGTCAATTTTAAGGTCAATATTAGCCCCCTTATTTTTATCAAATGGCTACAGAAAATTATTGTTATAAAATGACTTGCCTAATTTGCCTAGTTAACCTAATTAACCTTTAGCCTTTAAACTGACCTTTAAGCTGAATACAAGTATCTTGAAAAATATCTAGTCAAATATTAGGGTGTGTCATAATGGCAAAGATAAAAGAAATCAGTTATTAGAAATAAGAAACTGATATGCTTAGAAATGCATTTCTTTGTTTTAATCCCATATCAGCAGCATTGGCTATATTCATGGCAAAACCTATCCTAAATATACAACATATAACATTCAAATATGCCAGTTTCTGCAAACATACATTGTACAAAAATACAAAAAACAAAACAAAAAACAAAGTCAGACTGTACAATCTTTTAGTTTGATTAAAGATGAATATTTCAAAATTGCTCCAGAAGAAACCTTTTAAAACATTTCCCTTAAAATATTTCCTTACTAAAAACCTTCTTTAATATAATTTAAAAATACACATTCTATTAAATTTGCTTTACGGTCAAAATATTCTTACACAAGTCACAAATAGCTTTATCTTCCCCTTTAAATAACTATGAGTGTGTTAGTCTTGAGTGTCAGATTCTACATCTTGTACAACCTGATCATGTCTATTTTCAAAATGGTAATTTTTTCATTTACAAATGGATTCACTTCATACAATTTGTTGTTTCTAAATTCATCCCATTCCATTTGCCATTTCTCATTAAAATACAGATTTAAAACAGGTTTAACATCGGACAAAGGTACTTATCTTTAGAAAGGTGTTGAAAAAAAAAACTTCTCTCTTTTAAACAAAACTTGGCAAAAAATATATACACAATTAAATAATAATCCTGATTTTAACTGCATTTATGAATTAAGCTACACAATGTCTGCAATTTTTTTAGTTTGTTTTCCATTTTTGTATTTTATTGCTTGTTTAATTTTCCTAGCTAAACTTTTGCATATTTATTATAGCCTATCTCTGAAAGATTTCACTCTTCTTTGAAAGTGTATACACCCCAAATTCTGAGTTATCAAAATGTTCATAATAAGAACAAATCTAAACAGATCAAATGGTTCAATTCAAGTCTTCTGAAGAGACAATCACTTTATATTATGAACAGGGTTAATGTGGCTCATTGTTCACATACACGCAATAGTAGTCAACATTTGAAGCGGATCAAAACCGTTCATCAAAGCTGTCCTAAAACTATTAAACCACACACATTCTTGTCCTAGGACAATTTTGAAAAACCTTTTTTGATCCAACTGTTGACTACTGTAAACACTGATCAGCAAACATGACCAGAAACTCAATTGAACCTGTTTGACAAACAAAAAACAAACCTCATTGGTTATTGCAGAGGCTTAAATGTGCCATCCATGTGACATTTAGGAACAAACCTCATTCAGCAGTATTCAATTATCATCAATTCATTATTATCCCCTAGCTTACTGTATATGAGCAAATCTGAATCATGTTTGCTTCTCAATGTTTATATGTGAATAAAATAATACATTTTCAGAAGATTTGGATTAAACCATTTAGAATAATGTTTATTTTCTTATCAACAGATAAAAAGGTTTTAATTCGGAATAGTGGCTCCATGAAAAATATTTCAAATCTGAAAGAAGCTTTCTATTACAATCAACTCAGGTTATTTAGTGGAAAAGGTTCTTTACACTGTAAAAATCGATTAGTTCCTTTACTTTTAAAAAGTGAGTAAACCCACTGCCTGAAAAGCAACAGGTTAATTTTACTTAAAAAAGGTCAGTAAACCCATTACCTCAACTTTTATAATTATATTATATTTTGCATACACTAAAAAATAAATAAATAAATAATACACAATTATATATATATATATATATATATATATATATATATATATATATATATATATATATATATATATATATATATATATATATATGTATATATATAAAAATATATATGTATATATATGTATATATATATATGAAAAAGTCTTGAATTAAACAAATTTACAGATTTATGAAAAAAAAAAATGCATCAAATCAGACGAAAACTGACCTGTTCTCTTCCTTCTACCCAGCATGGAGTACGACGGGGTCCCGTCTCTGCCAAAGCGCGTCATTTTGGCATCCACGCGATACCGCGGCCCAGGACTGGAATCCACAGACACCACTATTCAAAAGAAACAAATTTAACCAATTACATTTAGTAGCAAATTTGATCAGGTTCATGCATCACTATTTAACCATTTTCTACTGTCTGAGCAACAAAAATACTCTTAAATGTTAATTAAAATCAAACATATGGATTAAAATCAAGCGCATGGATTTTGTCAGCGTAATATGCCAAAGAAATAGCATTAATCATTATATTGCATGCTGTTGTTTGGAATATAAAGTCCAGATGTGGGAGAGGTTTTTATTTTTTTTTGCATTCATTCTTTGATCAAACTGGGTGTTCTCAATTCCTTCCACGAGGAAGCAGGCGTTACATGTCACTAATTAGGCGTGTAAGTGTGTGTATGCAAATCCAAAGACTATTTCAGCCATCATACTCGACACTAATTCATCTATAAAATGATCAATCCCTATAAATGCCATGTTGAAATATGTGAGTGTTGTGCATGAACGGGCATGATTGATGGCAGGCCGCATTAGTGGAGTGGATCGTGTCGTGTGTCAGTGTTTTGTTGTCATGTCACTCACTGTTGCTGCTCATGCGGCTGTGGAAGGAATAGGCCGGGCTGCTGGGTTTGGTGTAGTCATGGTTTATGTAACCGATAGTGGGCGGAAGAGCATAACGCCCCGGCCCGGGCCCTGCAGGCACACACAAAAACACACACTCAGGAGAATTTCAGCATTCATTATTATACTGGAACAGTGTTAATAATGATTTGAAACTAATTTTGAGTAATTGGTAGTTCAGAATAATAGTGCATTGGTTGAAGTGATTATTTTTTACATTTTGTTTTCATTGTAAAGCTCAAGCAAATTATGTTTTGTTATTATTTAAATGTGTGCCTATATATATATATATATTTTTTTTTAGTTTTAATTTGTTACCAGTCACTCCTTATTTTGAAAAGACACATACTGTTGAGATGCCCTGTCCAAACTTATCTTAGTCTATGATCAGGAATCAATTAACTCAGGAGTCGCGACAGCGGAATGAACCACCAACTTATGTAGCATATGTTTTACGCAGTGTGGATACCTTTCCAGCTGCAACCAACTTATTCAGCATATGTTTTACGCAGTGGATACCCTTCCAGATGCAATCCATCACTAGGAAACACCCATACACGTTCATTCACACACATATACTACGGATAATTTAGCTTACCCAATTCACCTATAGCGGATGTCTTTGGACAGTGGAGAAAACCAAAGCACCTGGAGGAAACCATCACAAACACAGGGAAAACATGCAAAAAAGTAGAAATGCCAACTGACCTTAAATAAATTAAGTTTAATTTATTTGATTGCAATTCCTGAAATATAATAAGAACTTAATTGGAATAAAATCAGCCTCACTAAGCTGATTAATGCACAAAAGAGAAAACATTTAATAAATTAAATAAATAAATAAATAAATAATATTAGCCCTCCAGTAAAATTTGTACCCCTTTTCCAACATTTTGCCACAGTATTTCCTAATATATATTTTCTTCTGAGGAAACTGTATTTATTTTAGTTTAAAATAAATAATACATTTTTAGGGTCAAAATGATTAGCCCCCTTAACAAATTAAGTTTTTTTTTTTTTCAATAAGTAAATATTATTATTAATTATCAATAAATAAATATTTTAAATTTGTGTTTTTAATTTTAGCAATAATAATCTTGTATTATAGTTACATTTATTACTCACTAACTTAATCTGAGGTTTGGTAAAAGAGACAAATCCAAAGTATACTATAAATAAAAACGAATGCTGCCTTGCATCTAACTGAAATAAACACTATTGCTACTGAACAAATGGGTGCTCCGGTTTCCGCCACAGTCCAAAGACATGCGGTATAGGTGAATTGAGTATTCTCCATGAGCGTGAATGAAAATGTATGGATGTTTCCTAGTACTGGGTTGCAGCTGGAAGGGCATCCGCTGCGTAAAAAAATGCTGGATAAGTTGGTGGTTCAATCCGCTGTGGCAACCCCAAATTATTAAAGGGACTAAGCCAAAAAAGAAAAAGAAAAAAAGAATGAATGAAAATCCAAATTAACATAAGAGCCAAGTCAAAATAATAAGCTCTAATAGTTTACAAATGATACTAAAATTATGATAATAAAATAATAATACTAAAATTACTGTAGTGCAAAATTACACTAAAATAATCACACTCCTAAAAATAAAAGTTGTCTTCATCTGCATTGATGTTTTCATGGTTTTTGATAAAACATTTACTTTCAACAGAGAGTTCTCCATGGTGGAAAAGAGTTCTTTATAATAAGTTATATAGGACATTCTACCAGAAACGTACATTTTCACTTAAAAAATTTCACAGGGCCTGACTTTTAAGCTAGTCATCCTTAAAAACCATACATTACATTAATTGTACATTTAATTGTATTATATATTTGTAGTATTTATTTGTAGAATTAATTCATAATTTCATGTTTTTAATCAATTGATGTGAACAATAACAACTTTTTTTCTGAAGTTTTTTTTTTCTAAACAGTTTTTAGAATAAGAAAAGTATTAAAACGGTATGTAACATTTTCTTTACAGAACAACTCACAGAAGTCAATCAGTCCATTTTAGAAACATTTGGGATTAAATTATTTTATTGACTGTATTTATGTTTTTATTTCAGGGACAGATAATGTATGTTTCTGGTTCACTGTAAAACTCAAAAGGTTAAGGTAACCTAAACCATTTGAGGAAACCGATTGCAAAAAAAAAAAACATTGAGTTCAAAAATGAATTCAATTGAGTACTGTGAACTTAATGTATGTGAGTAAAAAAAAAAGTAAAAAACAATAAATGAAGAGAACTCACGCCTACTGAGTAAGTTACAGTAAAACTCAAAAAGTTAAGTCAGCTCATCGTTTGAAGAAACCAATTGCAACAAACCATTTGAGTTAAAAAACCTAATTTATATGATTACTGTGAACTTACTCCGTTTAAGTTGAAGTAATGAGGTATTTAATTAACTCACCCTCAACACGGAGTTCAAAACTCTTAAATGTGTAGAAGTAACTTTCTGTAAATTTTGAGTTTTACAGTAATGTCCCATATTGTATTAAATTAATTAGGCAATATATATTCGCACTCACTAAACGATTACACGGGTGGCCTACTAAACATTTTTCCGATGCATAACTGCACAACCATTTATTTTCATTAAGAGTGCATATTCACTTCATAAACTAATGTTCTTAGTACAATTTATATATAACACAATATCAATGCATATGCCAACTACCTGTTCCTTGCGGTCATTTCATCTTCATTAAACCTAAAATAAAACAACGGACTGCGACTCAAGCGAGACACAAAAGGCCACACATGCTGACCACATTTCCAAAGCTCGGCTGTAAAACTTTTCATTTGAATTCGTATGAATTTGATATAAACACAGCTAAATTTCACACAACATTTTCAAAGCTTTGTCCGAAAATAAAATACAGACAAAAGCAGTTCAACTCTCAGAACGATACAAGCAGGTGTTTCAATAAAAGAGCCAAGTGACAGTTTCTTTCACCAAACCGCCAGTCCATTCTCTCAAGAGCCGAATAGAAGCATGTTTGAACTACTGACAGAGCTGAAATAAATCGTCAGATCTCCTCGCTTCGCTGAATAATTCTTTCATCACAATCAATTATTTGTACAAAATGAATCAACTGAGGTCAAAACTCACCCCGTTCCCGCCCGGCGATGATGGGCCGCCGCCGCCGCTCCACCTCCGCCATGTCGCGGATATTTTTCTGGGATTATTTTTTGGCTGGTTTCAAAGAGCTGAGAAGAAAAATGGCCAGTAGACTTGCTCAGTGAGGTCCGGTAGAGGTTGAAGTTTCAGTTTAGACACAGTGAAGAGATACAACTGCCGTCTGAATTATAAATGACTCTTACAAGCACAAGAAACATTATCCTTGTCCGAGCGACGAGAACTTCCATCTCAATATCATTCCGCATTACAGATTTCCAAACATCCATCACTGACTACAAAAGACACCCGCAGTTACAGCCTGGCATGTTGTCTGTAAACGACGGCTAATGAACTAATTAAGCTGACAGTAAACGGTCACCAATGTTATTGGAGCACTGCTATCATTTAAAATAAAGATTGTGTAATAATATGTAATTTAGGCCTAATTCCTTACTCCAACCCAGTCTCTCAGCAGTTCTTTATATCAACTATCAACAATGTGATTTACAGCAGTGTTATTTGATATTTAGTGATTTTAAATACATTTTTAACTTTATTTTTCTAAAGTATTTTCTTATTTTCCAAAGTATTTATTATTTTCAAAATTATTTCCATTTAAATTTTAATCTTGTTTTCTACTTTCAAGCTTTAGTAAATTTTACACTTGTGAGAGACCTATAAAAGGTAATTTGGTTGTGTGATTTGTATTAGTTTGTAAAAAATATTCACATCCAGTTTTATTACAAATTAGTTTTTAACAACAAAAGTTTTGTTTTATAATAAACTAAAATAACAACTGTTGAAAATCATCACATTTTGTTTAATTTATAAATTACATTTCAAAAGGAATAAAAAAAATGTATATGTTAATTATTCTTTAAATTACTATATACCTGTAGTTTTAATGTTTACTCCAGCTTTTAGTGGACCACTTTTTTCCTTTTTAAAATAATGATTGTAATATATGTAATTTAGGCCTAATTCCTTACTCCAACCCAGTCTTGACTGCAGTTCTTTATATGGTCACAGGCTTGTAGCCGCCTATTGAAAGGGGAGGTTCTTTTTTCTGAAAAAGAGGACCTTTTTTTGCAGTTATTCGTCTCATTTTTCTATCCAACTATGCATTTTAGTCAAATTTTAAGAACTATTCTTTGCTGAATCAGCTTGTCGGGTGGTGATCATAACCACACTTTTTGATGCACCAAAAGTATTTCCTACAAAAGTGCTCACCATACTATTTTACTACAACGTATTCATTTACTAAATTGGATTTAAATGATACGTTAATCCAGTTTAATAAATGTTGTTATAAGATTAGCATTTTAAATCTAAAAATATGAAAAAAGACTTATTTTTAAATACAAATTACTATTATTTATCACTAAAAAATAGGAATCTGGTAAAACACTTTAAAATAAAAACTAATGATAGTTGAGTTTAAAGCTGAATAAATTAGTCAAGCAGAATCTGCCTTGGCTTCATTTGCTCACTGATATCTCAGGATTGTCCTCTATCTGTCAGGTCACAGTAAAAAAAAAATCTGATTTATTTAATTGAAATGTTGAATTTGCATTAGCTTTTTGTAGCTTAGGAATAAAGTAAAACAAACAAAAAGTTACATTAAATTAGAAGTCACATTAAATCTTCTCAGATGGGATGGTGGACCAAATCATAGGTTACTATGGGCCAACTTTGGCCCATAAGCCCTAGTTTGGCATCTCTGTTTTAAAAAGTCTTAGTTAACTACAATAACAACCATTGAAAACGTTCACATTTAGTTTAATTAATTATTAAAATTACATTTCAAAAGGAATTAGAACAAAACATATATGTTAATTCTTCTTTAAAATGAACCTGTAGTTTATATGTTTAGTCCAGCTTTTAGTGTTAAACGAATCAAATACATTCTATAGTGTTTATTAGATAGTTTTTTTTTCTTTACTTTAAATACATGTTATGTTCCCATGGACACGTCCATCACCCAGAACACAGCGCAAATGAATCCTCTAGAAAGCTGCTCTCGTTTCTGTGGCATAGCTTTACAGTAGGATCTCCATATCAGGTTGCTCTGCAGCATTAATTACTCTGATTTAACAGCGAGAAGCCACTTCAAACAAATGACGCAATGAGCTGTTTTCCATTACCAGCTCTAACCTGACAAAATACGAAATACAAATGTCATTAGCATGCTAAGAAAATGTGTGTTGTGCAAGCAGAGTGAATTGAGCAGACATTAAACATTAACCTGCTTGATGTAGAAGCAGGTAACACCACAGCCGACCTCAAAGCCACAAAAAAGAAAGGTCAAGTTACCCCCCAGAGTTCAGCAAAGTGAATACGCATATACACATGAGTAGTTTGCATATAACTTGCATATGAACTCATGTTAAGCAAGAGTACCATAAATAAAAGCAGAGAATGTTAATCTGCAACTCGATACTGAGCATATTATTGATCCTTGTACCATGAAAGTGCCAGAGGTCTCACTTTACAAACACGAATTTGTGAAAAAAAAGCTCCAATAACCTGTACAGGGATTACAATCAAGGTCACAGGTCATATTTTTTATTTGGTCAAGCGCATGAACTTTGTCATTTTTCAGTCACGTGTTTGGAAGTCACAGGACCGAAATGTTAAGGACTGTAAACCCAATGGCCTAAAGAGTTTAATTTTTTTTTTGTTCTTTGTGGGTGTCACTTAGGGAGAAGTGAAATACTGACCGTGGAAGAGGCCAGTGTAAGAGCGCTAATTTAACCAGACAACTGCTCGTACACACATTCATCTTTTTCCCTGTAGAGGAGCACGCTCTGGCAAAACACTTCAGCTTTCTGCAATTGGGATTTCTGCCTTTTTTTTTTTTTGGAGATGGTTGAATTTTTAGTTTCTTGTTCTGTAAATGCTTAGAGAATACCAAAACACACAACAGAAATCCTTGCTGCCTTCATTTTTTTAGTTAAACTTTTCTAGTCAACTTACAGTTGTGCTCAAAAGTTTACACACCTCTTGGTTTTCAATAGTGTGTGTGGTTTCCTAATGATCTACGAGTGCTTTTTCTGCTTTGTGATGGTTGTATATGAGCAGGGTGCGAGTTATATATTGATGACCAGGGGGTTTACATTTTTCAGTCATGTAATGTAATATGCATCAGTGAACCAAATTTGTATATTTAATTCAATTACATTTAATTTATTAAAGGGGCGGTCCACTACGATATCATATTTTAAACTTTAGTTGATCTGTAATGTAGCAGTGTGTCTGATGAGAAGCTGTGTGGCTCGAAACGTTACACGCTTTGTGTCAGCTTTTTTAATTTAATAAATTTGTATTTTTGGAGATTTGGTGTTGCCGCCTTTGATTAATATTTAATGTAGCAGTGTGAACATAAACAACATCTCTGAATGTAATACACTCAAAGTTCAATGCAAAGGGAGACATTAGCATTTAAAGAGTTAGCTTAGCAAAGCCTACAGCGAATGAAGTTTGGGGACTACAAAAAAAAATACATCTGGGGTAGTGAGATTACAAACGCCTCAGGTTACATGCATTCACTATGTGCATATGTACTATGTGTTATAGCAGAGAAAGCTAAAATGGCGTCCAAACACTGCTATTTCCACAGAGCTTGTTCCGTTTCTGTATTTGGGCTTCCAAAGGACACGACACAAAGAGAGAAGTGCTAACAATTTGATTTTAATTATGTTCCAGAGAATTATAAAAAAGATATAGCTGTAGCATTTGAAGGAGGGCTACCAGAATCTCTCCCAGCTCAGGGCTGGATTCGGCTAAAAACTCCTCCAACCGACAAAGCTGTGGATGGTGAAACTGTAGGTATTTTTATTTGTTAAAATTGATCTATTACATGCACAGTTTCTAGCGTTAATGGTATGTTGTAGCAAGGGTGTAAACGAGGTAAATGATGGGAAATGTTGTTTGGCTCCACTAGCAATTTAGCTACAAAATTATATTCATCAGTGAAACCGCTATTAACACACACTATCTTCAGCAGCGCTGCAGTGTCTCTCTATGCGGACACTTTCAGTGTCTCCATGCAGACACTTTCCGTGCATTCTACATCTCAAATTACAAACTCGCAAAAGATATGTGAACGTTTTATATTACTTACACATGCTTATGACCCGAATATTTGTGAAAGACAGTTGTCAGACTTTTATTGTCAGATTTTTATTTTATTTATTTTAGAGAGCAGGTGTGAGGTTCGGCTGTGTGCTCTTCATTCTCTGTCTGATTATGGCTAACAGCTATTGTTTAAAAAGTGCAAAAGCGCATGCCTGTAGAGGCGTGACATGGAGCCGATCATGAATAACAGCACATTAGGTTAGCTGACCAATCAGAGCCTCTTGACGGTGGGCCTTTCAGAGGAATTAGGAAATATGACACTCGTTTTCATGTTAGCTGAGTTTCTTTATATAGTTAAAGTAGGATATATGAAAAAATAACGTGATTTTCTACAAATGAAGCATGAGCACACATTGCTTTGCACCCCATAAACACAACCACACTCTAAAAATACACCACTCCTTTAATCAAACTTGTCATTATGCTTTTAGTGTTTTGAGGGATATTGAGTGATTCTCAATGACATTTGTGATATTAAATAAAGGTGATAGGTTTGCTAATTGATGACCATGAAAGACAGCACATATTTTTTTATTTGCTGTTTAACTACTGTTTAATGTCCTCAATCGTTTATAGGGGACAACCCCTCCCCCCAAACCCCTCTGTAATTCGCATGTATTTATGATGAAGTTTGTTCTTCGCCACTGTCGCCACTGGCTTGTTTGGTTGGGATTTTTAGAGCCGCCCATCAATGTATTTGCTCTTCAGTGTTTGGACTTTCCGCAGTGAAATTTAAAGCACACAGAACTGAACTAAACTGCACTTCAACTCTGAAAACTTTACTAGAAATTCTATGTTAAGCAGCTTTGACATAATCTAAACTGTAAAAGCGCTATAGAAATAAACATTTAATTGAATTTAATTGAAGTGTTTATAAGTCTCTTGTTTGTTCTGAACTGTTAAACTGACAGCTGTTCCTCAAAAAAAAAAACTCAATCTTCAGCAGATTCTTCAGTTTTCCAGCATCTTCTGCAGATTTAAACCCTTTCCAGCAGTGACAGTATGATTGTGAGATCCATCTGTTCACATTGAGGATGATTGAGGGAGTCAAACACCACTGCTAAAAAAGGTTAATACCAGGGGTGTCCAAACTTGGTCCTAGGGGGCTGGTGTCCTGCAGATTTTAGCTCCAACTTACCTCATCACACCTGAACGGATGATTCTAGAAAGCCTAGTAAGAGATTAGCTAGCCCAGGTGTGTCTGATTGGTGTTTGACACTCAACTTTGCAGAACACCTACTCTCCAGGACTCCAGTTTGGGCACCCCTGGTTTAAACCCTTACTGATGTTCCAGAAGAAAACACAAGGCATTAAGACCTGGGGGGTAAAATGTTTAGAATCTGAAGAGCATGTGTTTTGGGAATAATCCAGGTATTGTCTGTTATGAAGGGCAGTGCTAAATGAAGGAAAAATATATATTTTAACAAAATAAGAAAAAAATGGATATCTTTAGCCTTTTTTAAAAATCTTTATCCATCTTTAAATAACCTGAAATAAGCAATAGATTTACTGCATATATCTAAATTTCATCTTTCATTAAAAAATGTATAATAAAAATGTTATGGGTCACATATACGTCACATTTTTACAATACAAAAGTGATTTAGCTGCATAGCTTATTCAATGCAAGTAATTCATTTGGTTTATTGTCTCAAATATGATTTGTCAAAATAAAATGTCGAAATATGGGTCGAATAACATTGTATTTTCATTAATTGTAACATCTTAATATGTAAAAATAAAACAGCATAGTTTTTCTGACTTTTTTAGTGGTTTTAAAACATTGTAAAAATGAATACTATTTTATTTAGAAAAAATCTCATATATGAAGGGGGAAATATAGTTGTATTACATTTATTTTGTATTGTTTTGATGGTTGAAAAACTCTTTTTTCGGGTGTAAAACAAAACAAAAAAATAAAAACACTATCAACAACTTCTTATTTTCTCAATAACAAGTCTTATCTTATCTTCAACTTGAACTAGTTTCCTAAACTAAAGTATTATCTTGGCCAGTTTTGCCAGATGTAGCTGACTAATTCCAGCCCAAAAAGTATCACGAAAAGGCGGGGTGTGTGTGTGGGGGGCCGCGACAACGCGAAAATCACGAAAAGCAGTTGTGTGAACATGTTAGTGTTGGCTTTCCATTGCAAAACCTCACAATTTTTTTACACCCGCCTATGTCATTTTAAACCCGCACCGGGAAACCGCCCAATCTGGCAATACTGATCTTTTTAATATGACAGAAAAATTCAAATAAAAACTCAGAAAGGAACAAGTTGATAAGTCGGATCTTAAAGAAGGATTTTATGCACAATATTAGAGCTTAACAATTCAGTCAATAATAATATAATCTACCTACACATAACTTAAGAATCGAAACATAACTTTACATTTAAATATGTGGATACAAATTCAGTACAAAAATAAAAGTAGTAAAATGTCTCAATACATAAAATTATTTTCAAACAGTTCAATGCTACAAACACACTTGACGTTTGCTAACGGCAACACATGTATAAACAAAAGAGAACATTGGCTGGCCAAAATCTTCCTCGTGGCCACTTTTGAGTCCACTTTGGGGATCCAACATGTCAAATTTGAAATCCTCCAATGTTTGTGGTTGAGTTTCAAATGCAGCGAGACTTAGTTTTATGATATTTTCAGCATTGCATGGGATCAACTTTTGATATGGCACGTACCAGTTAACGAAATAGCAGACTACAAAGTGTTTTGTGAGGTATACCTGTCAACATTTTCTGCTGGAATATAAAGTCTGTCACACTCAAACATTCATAAATGATACCTTTGGTAAAACTGGATGGCCTTATTATTCGTCCAGTTGTCTTAAAGTTACACTGAAAAACGTTCATAAGTTTCCCGTTTGTCCATGAGGATGAATCGCTTATAGCACACAGATCAGAAAACGCCACGTGTCCGCGTTCAGACCATGTGTCACATCGAAGTCATCCTTATTAAACATGTGCAAATTATGACCTTTAATTAATTGCTTCCTCGACATGGTCAAAAAATCTTCACGGATTGCGAGTTGCGAGGATATAGTCCACCAGATCTTCATGGCTAATGTCAAAGAAAAACATTTAACCGTTTGTTTTTGTTATTATAAGGCATTTTAGCGAACCGCACAATGAAATCTGTGTCCAAGAGCCCCAAATGCCCGTCACCTTTTGTTGTTTGAACATCCCGTTTGTGAGTCCAGCTGTACTTTAACTTTCCTGCACTGAGTCAAGCAGCGGTCTGGAAAATGTGAGTTTTTTCCACAGTGTGCTGTTGTTGTTAAGTGTTCTTTCTGCCTGCCAGCAGCGACGTGCTATGATTTATCTCCTTGAAGAACCTGAAAGCAGACAATATTACAGTAATCAGATAAACGCCCATAGAACATGAAAGGCTTCAAATAGCCATTCAAAAACAACCTGAGATCACGGAGAGTGATGACAACATCAACACCAACAATGAAAAATATGATGGGTGAAAAATATCTGGTGGTTTGGAGATTTTATACGCTTTGAGTAATTACTACAGGCTTATTTCTTCATCAAAAAGTCTCATCTCTGATGTCACTTTCCTAGAAATGTAGGATTTAAAAGGACTGATGATTTATTCAATTTCAAATTATATTGGCTATAGTTACATTTCTGATCTTCTTGTGCCATACTGTCCTGCTCAGACACTTAAGTTGTTAGGTTGCCTGCTTTTAACTGTACCAAGGTGTCGCTTTAAATGTAACAAACTCAGGAATGGTCTCCCCTATCATTTGTAAATCTAAAATTAAACACTACTTTAGCTTTTACATACACTCACCGGCCACTTAATTAGGTATACTATACTAGTTCTGTGTTGGACCCCCTTTTGCCTTCAGAACTGCCTTAATCCTTCATGACATAGATTCAACAAGTTAATGGAAATATTCCTCAGGAGATTTTGGTCCATATTGACATGATAGCAGGCCATTTGAGTACAGTGAACTGTCATGTACAAGAAACCAGTCTGAGTTGATTCGTGCTATGAGATATGGCGCGTTATCCTGCTGGAAGTCGCCATCAGAAGACTTCACACTGTGGTCATAAAGAGATGGACATGGTCAGCAACAATACTCAAGTTGGCTGTGGCATTGACACGATGCTCAATTGGTACTAATGGGCCCAAAGTGTGGCAAGAAAATATCCCCTACACCAGTGCTTCTCAAATATTTTTCATCAAGTACCACCTCAGAAAAAAATTGTCTCTTCAAGTACCACCAAAATGAGCAGTATTGAAATATAGTAGCTTAGTAGGCCCAGTAAAGCAGCTACAACTCTGCACAGTTAAAAAATGTGGCAGATTACCTTAGAAATATAGGCTATATGTCATATATGGCTTATCATGTACATCATTTTTGATAAATTTTGAAATGTGTGTAGCATGTACATCACATATTTAATTTCTCCGCGTACCACTAGAAGGAAGCCTGCGTACCACTAGTGGTACACGTACCACAGTTTGAGAACCACTGCCCTACACCATTACACCACCAGCAGCCTGAACTGTTGATTCAAGGCAGGATGGATCCATGTTTTTAATGTTGTTGATGCCAAATTCTGACCCTACCATCTGAATCTTGTAGCAGAAATTGAGACTCATCAGATCAGGCAATGTTTTTCCAATCTTCTGTTCAATTTTGGTGATCCTGTGCAAATTGTAGTCTCAGTTTCCTGTTCTTAGCTGACAGGAGTGGCACCTGGTGTGATCTTCTGCTGCTGTAGCTCATTCACCTCAAGGTTCGACATGTGCGTTCAGAGATGCTCTTCTCCATACATTGGTTGTATCGAGTGGTTATTTGAGTTACTGTTGCATTTCTATCAGCTGGAACCATTCTGGTCATTCTCCTCTGACTTCTGGCATCAACAAGGCATTTTCACCAACAGAACTGTCGCTCACTGGATATTTCTCTTTTTTGGACCATTCTCTGTAAACCCTAAAGATGGTTGTGCGTGAAAATCCCAGTATATCAGCAGTTTCTGAAATACTCAGACCAGCCCTTCTGGCACCAACAACCATGCCACATTCAAAGTCGCTTAAATCCCCTTTCCTCCCCATTCTGATGCTCGGTTTGAAATGAAGCAGATCGTATTGACCATGTCCACATGCCTAAATGCATTGAGCTGCTGCCATGTGATTGGCTGATTAGAAATTTGCATAAATGAGCAGGTGAACAGGTGTACCTAATTTAACCTAGTTTAATAGTGTAGATCTATTTGAACATTTGTACAGCACTTATAAGTAAATGCATTTATAAATAAATGTTTTTAATGTTGTTGTACATGCTTCATTCAAAATAAATGACTTCTGCTTCAAGAACATGCAGATGACGTGCAATAACAAACATTGTTGTGTTAGCTTGCATTCAGACGTCTGATGTTTGGCAGCGAAAAATACTTCAGGGAGGGATTTAACGCAATTGTTTTGATGACAGACTTCGGCTTAGGCATTGTCGAATGACTAAAGCAACATTTGGTGTGCGCATTGACATTGATGACCAAAAAATGATAGTTAGAAAGCCTTTGCATTTTTGTGGTTTAGAATTGTAAATGTTCTAAGTGTGACCGCTGTGGTGTTCATTTTTCCTTGGTAACTTGGTCACTTTTTTAAAAACTGACTCAAATGATTAGCATTTAAATGTTTAGTTCATCTAAAAAAGAAAATTTAGTTATTAATTAGTTATTAATTAGTCTCATGTCGTTCCAAATCCCTGAGACATTCTTTCATCTTCAGAACACTTTCATTCAATTCATTCATACATTCATTTTCTTTTCGCCTTAGAACCTTTATTAATCTGGGGTCGGAACAGCGGAATGAACCGCCACCATATCCAGCATATGTTTAACGCCGTGGATGCCCTTCCAGCTGCAACCCATCACTTGGAAATATCCATACACATCTCATTCACAAACATACACTATAGACAATTTAGCTTACCCAATTCACATATACCGCATGTTTTGGGACTTGTAGGGCAAACCAGAGAACCTGGAGGAAACTCACACCAACATGGGCAGAACATGCAAACTCCACACAGAAATGCCAACTGACCTAGCCGAGGCTCAAACCAGCGACCTTCTTGCTGTGAGGCGACTGTACTAACCACTGCGCCACCATGCTGCCCTCTTCAGAACAAAAATGAAGATATTTTAGATTGAATGCGAGAGCTCTTTCATCCTCCATAGACAGCAATGGTCTTAGAGGGTTTAAAGTCCAGAAAAGAATCCAAAACTGTAATCAAAATAAGCTCCAAGAAGATCTTGGGTTGCACAAAAACTGTAAAAATGTTTTGTTTGCTTTGGTCCTGTCTTCCTTGTCAGTTCAGGGTCTGCATTTACTATTGGCAGTACGAAATATTTCCATCAAAAGCATAACATGCAAGCATCGTACCAACTGTAGTAAAAGCATAGCCTAATCTAATATAGAGACATGACAGCCATTTTAAATTTTTTTCCACTAATACGTTTTAGTTTTAAAACGATTTGCACACTGGCATTTCATCTAGTGTTTCTGAAAAGATCTCCATCCACACTACACCACTGAAAATGCACATCAAGTGACCACACACACAATCTGGTATGCGAGTGAGCTTCAGGCAGTCAGCGGGTGCTTTAAGCACACCTCCCTAGGTGAGAGCAGCGCATCAGTTCATCAAGGATCTACCGCTGGATCTCATCTCACTATTGTTGTTAAATTTGATATTTAATTCATCTTGTCGATATCTAACAAGTCTTCAGTGTTTTGCTTCTATTCTCTATCTATACTTGTTCTCAGGTAACGTGTTTTGGCTGAGCGCAAAAATAAGTTAATATATTAAATTATGTAACAACGTACACTAATTCTGCACATTGAGTGATTGCTTGCCTTTATTTTCTTATATTGTATAAACTTAAATACATTAAATAAATATAAATTTATTAATAATTGCTATTATTGATTAATAAAACGGATATAGGCTCATTTTTGTTATAAAAATGCATTCAGTAAAGATGACGGTCATATAAATATATAGCTACACAAACTATTTGGTGTCTGTTAAGTTGTTAATATCAAAATAGGGCATTCCTTATATCATGTTTCCATTTTACTGTTAAGACAGTGAAACAACATAGCCAGGGTGATGTGAATGAAGTTATAAAGTACATTGTTCCCTTTAAAGATTTACCCGACGTGTCCTCTGGAGTTTGTTTTCCATATCAATCTTGCAAAGTCTGAACTGACAAGGAAAGGATGCAGGACTGCACTTTGTGCACTTAATATTGAGAAAAAGCCCCGATCAGAGAGGTGAATGTCTGCAGCAACCCCTCAGTTTTCAGATTTGTTCATTTTCCCCCATCCACACTGACACGGCGCAGCAACGTTTAAAAACCAAAATGGCCTCTTCAGCGTTTCCAAAACACTCCATTTTCAGGACAGAAGTAGTAACCGCAAAACTTATACGCTTTAAAACTAAAACATATTAGTGTAAACAAGGCTTTACTCTCTTTTTTCTTTTTCCTTTCAGGACTTCTCTTGATCGTTTTTGTCTATAGAGCAGGGGTGTCAAACTCAATTCCTGGAGGGCCGAAGCCCTGCACAGTTTAGTTCCAACCCTGCTCCAACACAATAACCTGTAGGTTTCAAACAAGCCTGAAGGACTCAATTAGTTTAATCAGGTGTGTTTAATTAGGGTTGGAACTAAACTGTGCAGAGCTGCGGCCCTTTTGGAATTGAGTTTGACACCTGTGCTATAGAGGGTTAGAGAGCTCTCAGATTTCATCTAAAACTTTATTTAAAAATAAAAAAAACTAAAAAGGCTTTTTGAAGATTAGCCATGTGAATAAAGGCTTTTTAATACTTTTTCCACATTTTTTAAGTGGCTTGGACTGATTTTGTTGTTTATTCTGATGAATCCCTTGATTAAAGAGCAGCAACATATTGTTTAAGCTACCCCTGAGAACTTTTTGTTCGATTTTGTATCTTAATTTTGTTTTGAAGATGAACAAAGATCTCAAGGGATTGGAACGACATGAGGGCGAGTAGTTAATAACAAGTGTCATTTTTAGGTGAACTAACTTTTTAAGTATAAAATGAAAGTCAATTCTATTTCATATTAAAAAATTTCTGATAAATAAATTTGAATGTCTGACTAATAAGGAGCAAAACAATTTCTTGGAAGTATTTAAGAAAATCATTTTCATGACAAACTTTGGCTCAGGCATTAAATAATGACTCAAGTAACATTAGAGACTGTGTGCACTGATGACAAAATTATAGTTAGAGCATCTGCTCATATTTCGCCGTTCAGAGATTCGAGTGTTCTTAGTGTAATTGCTGTGGATTCATCTCTCATTAGCTTCAGATTTCTCATTTCTCATCTAATTTGCGATGTCACTTCCTGGGAAACCAGCACAAATAATATACAAATAGGTCTGATAACTCAATATTATCAATATTAAAAATAAAAGTAGCTACATTTTACAAAATATTTTGCACGCAGAGGATAACTTTATAATCAATTCTGTAAAATCTTTTGCTTAGAAGTGATGTTTGAGGACAGAAAACAGTTATGGACGTACTGCATACAACTAAATAATTTTGTTGACAGACTTTGGCACATTGCCTTATTGTTAAAAAGTCTTTGCGGTTTGGAAATTTAGATATACTGAAGAGTAATTGCTGTGGGTTTATATCTCTCATTGGTAACTTCATGACATGCCGGCGGATCATCTAAGAAACTCATCTGCGATGCTGGCATGGATTCGGGTAATGTTTTTGCGTAAAACATAGACCGCAGTGCACTAGGGAGACATGAAAGGAGCATGTCTCTATTGGGTATATTCTCAAATGAAGGACAATTCTTGTTATTTCCAAAACAAGATTACTGCGGAATCTGACAGATGTGAACTCAGAACTGAACGCATATGTCGAATGATACTCAGTGCGCAGACGTTTATTTAAATAGTCCGGTTTACTCGAGTGGTTTATGAAAAGTTACCTGAAATCATATGAGTCGCCTCATGTTATTTACATCTGTGGTTGCCGAGAAAAACACAGGAAACGCGGTACAATAACACAAGGAGCACTTTAATTCAATTAACCCGGGCAACTCCAATAACTTAAGGCAATGGATACAGTCTCGCACTGTTATGAGAGCAAATATTCCTGGCATAACAGTTAAAGCTGAAGAAAACCAGACACTTAAACCTGATTAATGGGAATCCACACTCAAAAAATGGCTTTTGCTGCTTGTTCAAACTGCTAATTTAAAAGTGAGTTAAAACGGCACAATTCTTAAGGTTTTTTGGCGGACAACTTTATTGTTTGATGATCAATCCCCTTAAATTTGTATAACGATTAAGTTAACTTAATTTATTTGTGTTGTGACAACCAGTGTTGGGCACATTCCTTTAAAAGTGTAATTCGTTATTGTTTCTAGTTACTTCTCACAAATCGTAACTGAGTTAGTAACTGAGTTACATAATTATAAAAGTAACTAAGTACCAGGGAAAGTAACTATCACGTTACTTAAAAAAAATCTAATTTGTCAAACGACTATAAAACAAATATAAAACATTGCACATTATTTCCCAGAGATGGGTTGCGGCTGGAAGGGTATCCGCTGCGTAAAAACTTGCTGGATAAGTTGGCGGTTCATTCCGCTGTGGCGACCCCGGATTAATAAAGGGACTAATCCGACAATAAAATGAATAAATGAACATTGCACATTAAACTACACTATTTTAATGTTGCTGTGGGACAATGTGAGAGACAAACATTAAATTCAACATATCATTATAAATATTTTCATTACTATAGTTGCACAATAAAACTCAATAGATGGATTAAAACTTTTAAGTATTGCACAAACCACAACTCAGAAGACTTGTGGTGCTTCATTAGATTAGAGTTACTTGTCACCGAATCAATGAAACCTTTTTTTTTCCAGGGCATATGTTGCACGGCACATAAACATTCTTGCTTCAACGAGGGAAAAGTAGTGCTTATATTTCCAGTCTGCAAAAGCTACCTTTGAACTTGTTAGATTTGCCATCGTTCTCCTGGACATTGGAGTGTGCCACTGACTGTGCGTGTGCTTGTGTGTGAACGCCTGCACTACTCTGCCTCTGATTGGCAACCAATGTAAACGGACTTGATCACTATCTTGATCACGTTTAATGTTCATGTTGTCAGTGACACCCCATTTACAGACACACCAATCATCATTGCTGGCGGCCAGTTTACACTAATACGTTTTAGTTTTAAAATTAACACGTTTTTCTACAGTTACGCCTTCCGTCCATACCACCCCGGAGTTTTCAAGCCCTGAAAAAGGAGCGTTTTGGAAATGCTGAAGAGGCCGTTTTGGTCTAAAACACTGCTGCTCCGTGGCAGTGTGGATGGAGGAAAATGGAGACATCTGAAAATAGAGGCGTTCCTGCAGACATTCATCACTCTGAATGGGGCTTTTTTATCAATATTAAGTGCACAAGTGCAGTCCTGCATCCTTCGGGTAAATCTTCAAAGGGAACAATGTACTCTATAACCTCATTCACATCACCCTGGCTACGTTGTTTCACTTTCTTAACAATAAAATGGAAACTTGATATAAGAAACTGCCTATTTTTATTTTGATATTAGCAACATAACAGACAACAAAAATGTTGAGGCATCATGTAGCTACATATATATGATCTGAATCTTCACTGGATGCATATTCATAACAAAAATGAGCCAATAACATTACTGCCTCCTTTCATTTCATTGAAAAATATGAAACATATCCTGTTTCTCTTGCTGAATATCAGTTTCAATAATCAACACGGTCATAATGAAAGTGTAGAACATGCATTAAGTTTATACAATATAAGAAATAAAGGTAAGCGATCAGTCAGATGTGCAGAATGAGTGTACGTAGTTACATAAATTGTATTAACCTAACTTTCCACTCAGTCAAAACATTACCTGAGAACAAGTAATAGATTCATAAGACTGAAGAGTCGTTAGATAGAGACAAGGTGATTATCGCGTTTAACAACTATAGTGAGATCCAGCGCTATATCCTTGATGAACGGTTGGATGTGTGCTGCTCTCACCTGGGGAGGTGTGCTCAAAGCACCCGCTAATGCCTACAGCTCAGAGGTGTGCATGCTGCAGGGCATGCCAGAGTGTGTGTGTGTGGCCTTGTGATGAGCGCTTTCAGAAGTATAGTGTGGATAGAGATCTTTTCAGAAACGCTAGGTGAAATGCCAATGTGGATGCGGATCGTTTTCATTCTAAAACGCTGTTGTAAAACTAAACGTATTACTGACACACACCCCAGCGAAAGAGGTCCTATGGCTGAGATACACACTGCTCACATGAAAACGGCTTCAGTTATTTTAATTACAGAATACAGTAATGCACATTTTATTGTGTCAGTAACGGTAACGGCATTTTAACGGGGGAAACTGTAATACATTTGATTACTCTTACTGAAAAAAAAATGCCTTTAGTAACATTATTTATAGTGCAGTTATATAGTGACAACAAAAAGGAATTCTCTGGAACAGAATTGATTTGTGTTGGGACAAAATGAAGGACTTAAGTGAATTAAAAAGTGTTTGCAAATTTAAGTGGATTGAACATGAAACAATTAAGCTGTCCCCCTGTTGTTTCAGCTCATTTTAAATGTAGTTTGTAATTTGAACAAACAACAAACATCATTTTTTAGAGTATAGTTTAAGAAGACAAATGTAGAATGCAAATAAAAAAGCTGCTTACCTACCTGGTTGCGAGTTTTGTGAGATTTCTGCAGCCAGACCCTCCACTGATCATAAAGTTTGATGCTCATCCCGCTACAACCGTAAGCATGTTTGCGCACCCAGCCGAAAAACTGCTTTAAATCCCGCCGTAGCGTTGAGTTCTGCTGTCCGGCCTTCGAGTCGCATGACCCTGTCAACAACCGCTCTGTGGGATGAAAAAACAAAAAGAAAATCAACACGTGTGCATCTTGGGAGACTAATACAAGCGTCGAGCTTATCACAGATACAGGCCGCAGTTTACACAGCCGACCAAACACAAGTTGGGATAAAAAATAAATCCTTTTCCATTTTAAATAAACAGCAGGTTTCTGAGCTCCAGATGTGGGCCGCGCCACAAGAGTTAATGTGCAGAGGAGTTAATCTGTTAATCTTCAGAAACAATCGACTGAAAAAATACATCCAAAACTCCCCCGTGACTCTCTGGCAAGCCACAAAATGAGGAGATGTATGACTGAGGTAATGCGTTGCATGTGCTGGTTGGTGTCTGCTGGACTAAGCATCGTCTTGGAAATATGTATTTGATTATAGGATGGACTGCACGACACATTCGAAATGTGAAAATATGATGAAAGACAGCAATGGCAACAGCTCAATCCAACTCTCGCTGCTACTATTTAGACCTTGGCTATATTTTTTTGTTTATTGCTTTGGTATGTTGATTTGGTCATTTTATTAATACGAATCTGTGAATGACACAGAAAGTAATTGGAAGAGGGGTTGGGGTTCGAGTCAAAAGAAAATGTGGCGTAGTTAAAAATAAATATAACTTCATAATCGTTAAGAATGGATGCAAAAAACAAACAGAAATGCACAATTTATAGTATTTGAACTCTTTTCAAGTGGCAGGAAAAAAACATTTCATTGCCAAAAATTCATGTTCCGTTGTATGTTCACATATTCATGCAATATATCAAAATATAAAGCTGAGCCTCTCCTTAAAAATTTTCTAGCTTCTTTTTTCTCTCTTCGTTTTTGTCAGAGACTATGCCAGAATCGGATTTAGAGCAACAATCAAAACATAAATCAAGTATATCGAGTCCATCACCGCCCCTAAAGCTCGCAAAGTAGTTTACAGAACATTTTATGGGTTCAACATTTCATTCAGTAATGTTAGGCTGTTTTGATTTATTTGCTGTTGATTGCTGTATGACATGCAGTTAAGTGCCTAAACCTTTTAACGATAGTGAATTGTGGTGTATTGCTTCCATAAAAATTAGTTGGTAACACAAGGTCCCAATAGTTCATGTAAGGTAATGCATTACTGTAATTAACATAACTAACGATGAGTAACTCATTTGTTACATTATTTATTTGTCTTTGCAAATTTCATTGCTAACTTAAAAGGAAAGTTCACCCAAAAATAAAAACTTATTTACTCAGCAATTATATTTTTATACAGTCCTTTATTTTCCTACTATGGAAGTCGATGGTAACCAGCAAGCAGCTCTCTTTAAAATATCTTCTTTTTTGTTCAACAGAATAAAGAATCTCATAAAGACTTAAAACCAAATGAGGGAGAATAAATGATGTGCTGATTTTCATTTTTGAGTGAACAATCCCTTTAACACAAATCCAGCTGTTTATAGCAAATACATTTTTTTTGTATCGCATAGACAGTTTGTCAGTAAACATCATTTCTATCCAGTGTTTTCAGAAGAACAAATGGTCACTTCCTTGTAAAACGTTTTATATTTTGTGTTGCGAGTGCAAGTTCACTTAAAGGCACATAATTCATAATTTCTGCTACTAGAGGGCATATATACACAACAAACAAAGACATATTTTGGTGATGCCAAGTGTGGAATTATGGGAGTCGTGGTCTTCATTACATTCAAAGGGACTCCTGCAGAAATCAGGATCATGGATGAGCTCAAATATTTAACACTTAAGTAAGTTTTAATGTTCCTCTGTGTCGAGTTTCTTCACGGGTGTTTTGTTTTTTCTGAACGCTACAAGACGAGTCTTCGCTGAGGCCAGCTTCCAGCCTTCACCACGGCGACTAAAGCTCTGCACAAGACTTTTGGCCAGCGAAGAAATTAAAATGGTCGTGCCCAACTGAGTCTGGTTCTCTCAAGGTTTTTTTTCTTCACTCCCATCAGGTGAAGTTTTTTTTCCCTCTCCGCTGTCGCCACTGGCTCGCATGGTTCAGGATTGGTAGAGCTACGCATCGATAAATTTGCTCTTCAGTGTTTGAACTCTCAGTAATGATTAAATCACACTGAACTGAGCTAAACAAAACTGAACTGAACTTAAACACTAAAAAACTGAACTACACTGTTCCAGTTACTATGACCATTTATGTGAAGCTGCTTTGACACAATCTACATTGTAAAAGCGCTATACAAATAAAGCTGAATTGAATTGAAGTAGCTATAACTTGCTCATTTAGAGGTGGGAACCGGCGAACGTGCAACAACGTTAATCATAAGGTAAACACAAAACAAAAGTTTCTATCTGGAGCTTCTTTATGGGACTCAACACTTGTAAACAATCGCTCCATCGGGCTCGCAGCTATCAGCATCGCCCATGCTTGTCAGCACTACCAAGCTGACCAATCACAGAGCTTGTGCTACGCATCGTAGGCACGTGTAGTTACATTTTGTTGAGAGGTGGGCATCAGTGTCGATCTCAGCCACAGCGAGGGCTATGCGATCGTGCGAAGTCTGCACCGGACCATATGTGCTTGACGCAGAAGTATAAAAAAAAAAAATCAGCCCTTAGGACTCATACATTGCTTCGAAAAAAGCTAGACGCGTTGCTCGGAAATGGGTTTATAATATGCCATTTAGTGTGAGATCCACATGGCGCGATATAACAACAACAGCTACTTTTGGGCCTGACAGCAATGAGCTGTGATGTGTGTAAAAGCTGAAGATCTTGTAACTTGCCAAGGCATCTAAAAAATGTGAGAACAGAGCGTAATGGTCAAACACGTCCGTCCAGCGCATTTACATTGAAAACAATAGAAAAGAACTGCATTGGAAAGGATAAAACAAATTCTGTTTGAACAGCCTCTCATGATCGTGATCACACGGGGAAGAAAAAGTACTGTTTTATCATACTAAATTCTCTTTAGGGTAGGGCTGCACGATTCTGGCTAAAATGAGAATCTCGTTTTTTTTTTGCTAAAACTCAAGATCATGATTTTCTCACAATTCTGTAGATGTAAAATAACGGTTAATATGAGTAGCCTATTTTTATTGGTAGTTCTCAAACATATGGTAAAACAACAATAATAATATTAGGTGTATGTGCAGGTCTAATGTTGGTTAAATCGCAAAATTTTGTATAGAATTGGAATGGAAGATGTGACTAGACTTTAAATGTGTCCTGTTTGTTAATGCATGGTAAATTGATGACATCAGAATAGAACTATTCATAATTCTGAAGTTGAATTAGTATGTTTGAGACATATACTTGTCATTGACAACCTAATTAGACCATTTTTTCCACTGGTAAAATGAGACATACTGACACTGTTAAACATTTATTCTCATGCACAACACTTTGTGTTTGCTTTAAAAAAAAAAAAGTGTCAAATGCTTGTCATAATCATAATTTTACAATGTGATCATGTAAATGATATGCAAGGTTTTGGTTTCACTTTCGCTGCCGAGTGCTCTCATGTCATGGATGTCGTCACTTTGACAAAAAAAACTAAGTGAACAACTTTATTACCTGTTATTTTCAGCCTATGCAGGTCCTGTTCACTAAAGTATACTTTATTCGTGGATACGCGTGCATCTTCTCAGTAGTAAACAAACAGCTCACGTGTGATTTTGCGGCCGTGAATACATCATTACATTAAAACAGAAATTACATTTTTGGGGAATTATACCATATAAATGCAGTATGTGACACTTTTAACACCATTTGGATGTCAACATTGCTGAGCAGCTTATATAAAACAACGTGAAGACTTGTGCGACTGCCTTTATGCTTCTCCCGAACTTATCGTAGATCGTAGATATGCTGAATTAAGATCATGTGGGGGCTCGATTTGAGATTGCCATCTTTTTTCGAATAATCATGCAGCCCTACTTTAGGATTTAGTTATAATGGAGTTTGTAAAAAAACGCACAACATATTAAAGCATCTTTGTTGTTTCTGTGTTTTCTATAAAACCAGAAATCCGGAAATCCATCCACGGTGTAAGATATCATTAGCATGGTGACACATGCCTTGGCATTATTTAAAATGACTTAATTTTCTACATTTGTTGGACAATGCAAGTACAAAAATACACAATATATATAACACAGTTTTAGTGGTTTTTGATTTTTTTAATCAAGTGTTTATGAATTTTATTGTGCATATAACCCTCCTAAGTATTTTTTTGAAAATACATGCTCAGTAATACCATTTTATTTTGATATTTATCATGGAATTGGAAATGAAATACCATGCCATTAGCTCCCATGTAAGTGAACATGACTTCTCTTACCACTGTGTGGTGTTGAGGCTGCAGTTGGGTGACTCCAGTCGCTCCAAATGCCTGCTTTCCTAGATCCCAGAATCCCCACCGGATTACAGCGCACCTGCACAAAATACACTGTGCCCGGCCGCAACCCTGCCAGCCTGCAGGAAGTCTGGTTTCCAACATCATCCACCACCTGCAGAGAAAGACACCCAAAACACGTCTGTTACATCAAACACCTCCAGCGGCCACATACCACACACACACCGTTACCCTACCGGGCATATTTAATGTTCTCTATAAGAAAGGAAAAAAAGCCATTCACTTTCAAAATCCTTAAGCAAGTTCATACAAGCTCATCTACAAAGAGGGAGAACAAAGAAATTTCCCTCTTTTGTGCTCCAAGGGGATACACCAACATATATCAGAGACAAAGACAGGAGGGAAATGACAGGGACGCACACACACATAAATAATTGGCCTGCCTTCTGGCTCTACATACACACAGCGAGCGCCGACACTACCCTGAGAGAAAATCTGTTATCTATCACTTAATACAGATTGAGTAATTGCACGGGTGCAGACAGCATCAACGACGTGCAGACGAGGCCAATGCCAGGCTCAATGCTTCCTCTTTCCTGTGTGTAGCAGACAGAGGTAAAGTCAGGATTCAAATGCAGGAATGTGGGCCTCCTGTAATTATTTACAATCCCGGTACCCCCGAATCAGTCCCTTTCCGCGCTCCATTTCCAGACTCGCATTTCAAAAGCTACAAACATGGTTAATATGCACGGCTCTGTAATCCAAGGACCGTCATTACTACTGGAACGTGATGAGTGGCAGAATGTTAACATCATCAGGTTGCCGTGTAACAGGCATGCTGGGTAATTATTTCCCTTCGTACAGACTATGCGAGCAATTTGTGGGGTTGAGAGCGATAATACAACTCACTAAACACACTTTGAAAACAGCAGGTCGTCTTCTGTGATGTGCTTTTGATGGTCACTGTCATGTTTTGACTTTGTTAACTATGTAGGACTGTGCAACTGACAGCACAATGATGGGTAAAAGAGGGGGGGGAAACTTATGTAACCCAACTCTGCCCAGCTTCAGAAGGAAACCTGCCAACTGATTGGATCCATATGAGCGAAATGGGGACAGTGAAAGCCTAAGTTTATTTGAAGGCTTAAAGTTTAGCCGGACTCTCCCATGGCCAGAGGACTGGAAACCATGTGCTGCTCGGCTACAGCTGGAAATGACGTTTCGGACAAGTAATACAAACACTCCAAATTCTACTGAAACAAGTCTGTTGTCTTTTGAGCCGCTCTAATTAATCATTGCGCCACTCTGAAAAACAAGAAACTCACATTCACTCGCATACTTGTATGGCTTGCTTTAGAAAAACAAGCGGGTATGGTAGCGGTGATAGTAATGAGGACGTGCTCACTGTTCAAGAGAGCTTCTGTACCTTCCAGTCGCTGCTTTCCTCCAGTCTGTATCGGATTTGGTATTTGGCCTGAAATAGGAAGTCTTTGAGTGCCGGCGGTGTCCCCCAGCGCACGGTCAGCTGGTCCTCCAGATCTCCAACTCGGCTCACCGTCACATCAGTCGGTGGATCTGTCGTCACTGGGAGAAGAAAAGACACAAATGACTGACGAAGACTTTTTATTCTCTAAGAGTATTACCTAATTGTGAAGCAGTTTGTATTCTCTAAAAGTAATTTCTAAAAGTAAACATGAGCCAGGCTAAAACTGGGTTTGTGTAAAATGAGCCCACAGAGGTGCTGGAGCCGGTTACGGGAGCCTGCTATAGGAAAGCAATGCTGAAGAATAACTGAATATGTCAATTAACTGAATATGTAAAGCACTGATTATATATGTTAAACATTTATATGAAGCCAAATGTGTAAGCGGTATTCAGGACAGTGACATATTATTAGGTTAATGCAACATGTATGTAAACACTTAGAAGAAGTTTCATCTATAAAGTGACATCTTTGGTGTGAAAGCAGTTTCTTACGTAGACCTTAGCTAGCAGGCTTGAGAGCCAAGCGACCCTATACAGTTGAAGTCAGAATTATTAGCCCCTTTTAAATGTCACTTTAAGCTGTAAAGAAGTGTCTCTAAAAATATCTAGTACAATATTATTTACGGTCATCATGGCAAAGATATAATAAATCAGTTATTAAAACTATTATGTTTAGAAATGTGTTGAAAAAAGTCTTCTCTCCATTAAACAGAAATTGGGGAAAAAAAATAAACGGGCAAATAATTCAGGGGGCTAATAATTCTGACTTCAACTGTATGTGCTGAGCAAAAACACGCAAGGTGAAACTGCATGTATAAAAGCAGAATGATGGTGACAAAACACTTCAGATTGTCCCGAAGGGCTGTTTTCAGACATCTCGGCTTTAATAAAGTCTATTTTCTGGTATCCAAAACCTCCAGTCTGATAGTGTTTATTGTGACAAAAAAAGACCTTATTGATTGGTTTTCCTTCCATCCTTGAGCAATTTTCCCAAACGACTTAACTTGCAGCTAAACTACCATAGTATGACGCATCAATCGGCAAATGAACTATGTAGTGACAAGTGCTTTCTGAACTCTGTTAGAGACCCATACGCTCCACAAGGGTATGAAGAAACAACTTCTTTAGATAACATCCACAACAGATACTTTTTATATCATTTAATTTTATATAATTATCTATCTATCTATCTATCTATCTATCTATCTATCTATCTATCTATCTATCTATCTATCTATCTATCTATCTATCTATCTGTCTGTCTGTCTGTCTGTCTGTCTGTCTGTCTGTCTGTCTGTCTGTCTGTCTGTCTGTCTGTCTGTCTGTCTGTCTGTCTGTCTGTCTGTCTGTCTGTCTGTCTGTCTGTCTGTCTGTCTGTCTGTCTGTCTGTCTGTATGTCTGTCGACTTGTTAAGTGTGACGTCATGCAAAGCGGCTTCCGGGTCCAAGCACTACATCAAACTGTATAGTGGGACTCATCAAATGGTAGTAATAAACATTTTCAAAGCGATGTATTACTTTTGAAATGTCCATGCCTGATATCCGATGGCCAGAAACTGATAAATTTTTGATCAATTGTTATAATTTTGGTATTTGTGATGCAGAAAGCCCAGAGGCTGTTGAGTACACTATGATTTTATGTAAAATTCACTTTAATGTGTGATAAGACTAAAAAGTGGCCATAAACATATACTTCCTCTTTTCAAATGTAAAGCGGCTTGGACCCTGAAACAGTATTCCATACTTCACGACTTCAGCACATAGTGCTGGGCAAAGATTAACCACAATTATTCCAAAATAAAAGCTTGATTTGACACAAGATATGTGTGTTTGTTATCCATAAATGTGTGTGTTATATATAAATCTGCATATAAAACAGTAAAGTATGTAAATACAATCTTTTATTACTTTATTATGGATGTGATTAATTACTCTTTGCCCAGGGCTAATATAAAATGTAACATTCATTGGAACAATAGATTTGGGAAATACAGAATCAGCAAACTTATTGTAATGACAGAACATGCCATCATAGTTGGCTAACAATGGTTTTTGGGAATCAACCCCAGACCCAAAAAAATTTTTTTTAAATACATTGGGGTTGTCGACACAATAGCCTAGTGGTTAGCGTGTGAACACATGGTGTCATAGCACTCGAGGACATTTCACGACCCTACCCTCTCTCTCTCCCACTTCACTTCCTGCCCTGTCTGAAACGCCAAAAGGCCAAAACTAAATCTTAAAAAAAAAATAAAATGAAAGAAAATTCAGTGTGGTTTCAATCTATTGAAAAAGAACACTGGTCAAAAATGGAGAACACTTTCAGTTATTGGTGTTAATCTGGCACCTAGTAGTACATTTCTCAGAGAATATTTCATATTTACTAACTCTTTCAAGTGCAACAAGAGTACAGAATAATTCAGAAAATATTAGCAGTGAGAAAAGCTCACTAGTTCAGTGGTGAATAGGATCTCACTCACTTGCTTTCCTTCAGTTTAGTCCCTAACTTTTCAGGGGTTGCAACAGTGGATTGAACCACTAATTACTCTGGCATATGTATTTATACGGCGTATGCCCCTGAATAGGATCTATCTATCATCTCCTAAACAAATCTGCATGCAGATTTATTCTACTTTTTTTTTACATTCAAATTCTATTAGGTCATGGATTTCAACTTTGTATGGAATAAACACAACAATAAAACAATGGCACAGAAAAGCTGGTTCAAATACTGTCATGCCACTCTCAACAAACAATGGTTCATAAAACACATAGCAGATTTGTTTTAAACCAATTATTCTTTCTCCAAAGCTGCTCATTATTTCCGTATACGCTTCTGATCTCTTATCTGGTTGATTTGCTATTTCAGAACTAATCAAATAATGGCACTAACCTTACAAAAGAGCTCATTGTATGCTTTAAGAGAAACATCTGCAGGTCTTATCAGCTTTCACTTTGTAAAACTAGCCAAACACAACAAATCTGCTGATGCTAAGTAGCTATGACCTTTATTTTTTGAGTGAATTATCCATCAACTGGTAAGTGAATACAACTTGATGGGCAAGACAAAATATTCTTGCGATTCATAATAAATATGGTATATTGTTTGATTTATATTGGTTGTTTTCACATGACGTCATTGCGAAATTAAGATGGAGGGCAGGAAGTGATTCTTCTACATTGGAGTCGCTATCAGAACATCAAAATGTTTTTGTTTATAATATGTTATTTATAATAGTTTAAATTGGCTAAAATAAGAAATGCCAAACAGTTATTATGGACTTACAAAAGTGTTGCTCATTAATGGGAGGAAAGTTCAAGAAAAAAAAAAAAAAACGAAAGAGAAGGCGGCATGTAATAAACATTTATTTAACACATCCATGTGGACACTTTTTTTAAACATGATAATTCGTTTGACAGCACCAATAAAGATTATGTACAGGCCTAGCTATGTGTATATGTTAATATGTTACATAAAAGATAGATACAAACATCACTACACTTACACAAAATCCAGAAGAATATAAATACCGTACCCTGCCATGTAATTGCTGCAAATATCTGTCTTGTTTTGCAATATTCCAAGTCTTTACTAGCGTTATGGTGGAATAAACAACCGTAATGTTAGAGACGCGCAGTGGTAAATGTTGATGGTAAGTTTATTAAGTTCATTCCTTACAAAAATAAATAAATAATATTATGTAGACTATGCGTCTACACTTTTGAATGCTTTCATCTGTTATTTGGTGATGTCTGAAAGATATCCGCATGGGGAAAAACTATAGTAATTTATAATAAACATGTTTTTGAACCACATAGTAAAATGTATGCTGTGTGCAATGTTTTGTTAATGAATGCTACCGAACACTGTAGTATAGTAAACTGATAAACTGTAATAAATATTGTTAGTGTAAACAGTGGTGTGCTGTGATGGTGTATAATTAAAGTGGATAAAACAGAAGCCTACTTAATAATTTTTTTATTACTACAGTTGTGTAGTTTAATTCAAGTAATTATATATAGTATGCTTCCAAACACTATAGTATTTACTTTTTTTTTTAATGTAACATAATAGCTTATACAGAATGTACCGCATCAATGACAGGCAAATATATTTTGGTTTTGTGGAAAACTCATCCCTCTTCATGATATAAGGATCATGCCAAACACATGTGATTGTTTTTTATTTATATCTCCTTTGAAATATGGTACAATTCGCAAAAATATGGACTTTCCTCTATGCTTACATTCTGTTCTTTCTGCCCTCCATCTGAATTTTGCGTGTCACCAAAACCGCGTGATTGAAAACAACCTATAGAATTCTATCCTAGTCATTTTAATTCTACTCTTATCAACTTGAAGCTCATTTTTCTGTTCCAACATGTTGATAATGCCTGCTATAAAACTACACAGCTTAAAAAGGATAGTACACCCAAATATTTCAATTCTTTCATCATTTACTCATACTTGTTTAATACCAGATTGTTTTTTTTTGTTCTGTTTCACACAAAAGTCGAAAACCATTGAGTTCTGTAGTATTTTGTTTCTCCTACTTTGCAAGTCAATAATTACAATTTCCAGCATTCTTGAATTTAATATTGCAAAAACTCAAACTGGGGTGCATTTCCGAAAACCAGCGTAAGCCAACTAACTTCGCAAGTTCCATTGATACAAACATGGTTGATTTGATCTTTCCCAAATCCGTCGTTGCAATGAACATTCACAAACTGGGTCGCAAACTTGAATGCTTGCCACTACATTACTAGAGGTGTAGTTAGAAGCATAATTCCTGGTTGTGTTCTATTACCAGTTAACCCCCTATGCCATAGCATGCTATGCTATTCATTTAGAACGTTCCAAGATTTTGACTTGGAATTATAAAAATATATATATATATATATATATTAGGGATGTAACGGTATTGTAAATACCGTCATACCGCAATATTAATTTTTTTCGATATTACCGAAGTCGCATGACTCGGTAAAACTATAGGTCTTCTGAGAAAATTTGCTCAGGCGAATGAAGCGAACGGGAGGTAACGAAAACTACAATTGCCATCAGCCCATGCTTGACCATCATCCCTTGCGGTCTGTTGTT